ACACCCTCCGCATAGAAGTTGAAACCAATGCAATCAAAACTCTCCCGCGTAACTTTGTGGATATAGGTAAGTATATTTAATTATAATCGCCATATATGTCTAATTTTCGGCATCTGCCTCCAACATATATAAACGTAATGATATACAGGGTGGCGCACGTACATCATTCGCCTCGGTTGATTATACGAAAACTGAAAGATGTAGAAATAAAATATTTTATAGGTATATGTGGGAAAGCAATATGCACAATTTAAAATTATTTTGAAATGTACAGGGTGTGTCAGAACAAAGATCCATACCAAAGTTATATTTTTTCTTATGGAACACCCGGTTTTAATTTAATTTTTGGATTCTTGTACATAAAATAATACATTTATTATAAGGGTTTCATATGTTTAAAAGCTTTTGATTTCGAGATAGTTAAAGATATTTAAATATGCATGCTATAATAAAAAAGTTTGTGAACACCCTGTACATTACTTTTCAGAGTTAATTTTTGTGCTGACTTTGAAGCCAAAGAAATAAACTTTACTAAAAATTTGTATTGCTGTCTTATATGTATACAGGGATATCAAAAATTGGTAGTCTATTTTAAATATTTATTTTACATAAAAACTTCGTTATTTCAAATGCAACACTATGTATTATTTTAAAAAAGTCGAAGCAGATTTAAATGTTCTTTCAAACTGTATTAGGGTTTCCTATGCCTATCTGGCTCAGATTTTGAATAAAAAGCGATTTTTCAATAAAATTGTAATCAAGATGGCTGGTGTCTCCATAGCAATTTTCTAGTGACACTTAGTAGCTATTTTCAAAATCGACATTAGTTTATGGACTTTATTTAAATTTATAACAGGTTATTTTTATTTAATTTACCTACAATAAAGGTTAATAAGTAAATATTTATTATTTTATCCTTGCAGATATTTTTCGCACTTGAAGATAATATCCATCTTGGCTGATTTACTTATTAGAATTGTTTTGAAAAACTTCGTAAGAGTTAAATTCTGTATTTTATTTTTTTTTCAATATGACAACAATAGTCAATCCAGCGGACCCAATTTAATATGAAGGGTCTAGGGAAAAAACTTGATAAGCGCCAAATTCTTAATTTTAGGATTTTACAATACTATAGCAATTGTACGGCAGCATATTCTATTAATTAAAATATTTTATTACTTATTTAAATGTACTGGTTTAGGTTTGCTTAGTAAACGCAATAGTAGAATATTCTTTTATAATTATGGTGCCGTGCGAGCGCCAAGTCATTATAAATATTATAGAAATAAAGAAGTTTAGTATTGATACGGTCCCTATTAATGTTGATAGATAATTGATTGAAAAACTATTTATAACAAAGTTGTTGAATAGGTGCTTCCATAGATACTAACTAAAATAAATTACTTAGTTTTACAGTACGTCTGTCCGTTCTGTAGCTACGGGGTATCCGTGAGAGGGGAAACGATATTTTCTCGATGTTTTTCGTACAAAATTAGACGACGCGTCCCTTCAATAGAAATTCGACAAATTTGCAAGTAGCCAATAAAATGAGTGGGCGGAGCGATTTGCGGTGACGTACTCATCAAGTCGACGTATAAAATATATTGTTGTTTACCCATATAACACAACACAATCCTATAGATATCTTGAGGATATCCACCAAGAATATAGTAAATATCTTAGGGATATCCAAAAACCAGAGGAGGATATTTATGGGATATCCAGATGGGACAAAAAAGTCATCTTCAAGACATCCCTAGGCAAGCCTTTTACGATTATTTGGGATATTTCTAGGATAATGCAAGGATGATGTTGGGAGCATTATAGAATATTTTTAGGACATTATATGAGGACTGTTATTTGACAATACTTACTTCATCCTTAGTTTATGGTAAAAACTTTCGCGATTTAGTTTTATTTAGCCACATTTTGACGTTATTTATTGGATATTTTTATTAACAGCTCTAAAATATACCTACATATTATGTCAATGAATTTTGCTTCAAAATTTAGAAGTTTATTTGTATGAGTTAAGAACTTTCAATTTATACTGTACCATCGAAAAAAAACGGCGTTCAATTGGCTTGAAAATTACGATCGATGACATTCCCCATATACCGTATGATCGAAAAAAAAACGGAGTCCAGTTGGCTATGAAATGAAGATCGCTGTCATTTTATATGTAAAATTATATGGAAAATGTCATCGATGTTCATTTCCAAGCCAACTGGACTCCGTTTTTTTTTCGATCATACGGTAATTTTACATACGAAATAACAGCAATCTTCATTTCCAAGCCACCTCTGACGCCGTTTTTTTCGATCGTATGGTATTATACCAGATTATAATACCCTTTATGGAGTCTAGCAGCAACAGTTTACATCAAAGTTAGCACACAGGATACAGGTATAATTTCTAACACCACACATTCCAGAAACTCAAAATTTAAACACAAAAATAGGATTTCTGTTTGAATAGATCAAACACGAAAATGGGTTTAGGAATAAAGAACAAGCGCTTTTCAACAAATTTTCACTTTTATTTTGTCACAAATTTTTCATTGGGAGACCCTGAGTCGTTCGTCGTTTTTCGACATTAGTTGAGGTTAGGATAGAATTTCTGCTAGAACAAGGCTAGAACTATGAGTATAAGAAAAAACTAAGTCAAACTCAACCAGTTTTGTTAGTTTGAGTAATTTTTAAGCCTATCCAATATCGACAAACGACCGAATTCACCTCGAATTTCACTAAATCAAAGAACTGAATAATACACGATGCAAAAACAAACAACTGTCGAGATGGATTGTGGGAAATTTTTTGCGCGGGCGTTTTAAATTCTCTATATTACTGGGAGTGGCCAAGCTCATAAATATTCAGATTATCCAGAAGATACCAACAGGATATTTTGTTGCCTTGACGTAATATTATATCTATCTGTATGGTTTATTGCATTTTATGTAATATAAAAAGTAGGTAGTACATTATTTATTTTTCCTAAATATCTAGACGATATTGTTAGGATATTTTATTATCATGAGCATGTTTGGATATCTCAGCTGGATGTACATTAGATATACGACAGAGATATCCATAGGATATTCTATTCTGAGACATCTACAGGATTTCAGGATGTCTGGAGGATATCCTATAGATGTCTGTATAAGATGATCTTATAATGGGACATTCCGACATTCTATGAATATCCTGCGGATATTGTGTGTTATATGGGTATTTAAATGTTTTTTTGTCCGCATTCCTTTCATAGACACAGATCCAGCAGACGTACTGTACATGAGATCTCACAGCTTTTTATAGCGGAGGAATTGTGTTGCGAGACTTGGCATTTTTTACATTCTATGTTTTGATAGGATCTTTATTTCTATAATTATTATAATTACTTGGCAATTGCATGCACGGTACCATAATTATAAACAAGAATAATCTACTATTTCGATTACTAAGTAAATCTAAACGGTGCACTTAAGAATAAAGTTTTTTAATTACTATAGAATATCATATCGTGCAATTGCCAAGTCATTATAATTATTATGGAAACAAAGATGACTAATATTGATACTGACATTTATAACAAAATTGTTGAATAGGTGCTTAAGGAGAGAGTAAATAAAATAAACTGACATGGTTTTACATGAGATCTCACAACTTTTTATAGCGGAGGAACTGTGTTGCGAGACTTGGCATTTTTTTACATTCTATGTTTTTGATGGGATCTTATTTCTTTTTGTAGGTTATCCTTCTATTTTTTTTTCAGGTCATTCAAAATAATATTAAAGAAGTTTGATTAGAATTCATAAATTTTGAATTATCGTATAATTAATTAAGTATTAAGTCAGATAAAGCAATTGAATTAATTCTAGTTTTCTAACTTTGTGTTTCCGACTTTCGTTATAACTCAAATATCAACTTTAAAAATGTTCAATTCATGATTTTACCAATGCTTATTCAAAATAATTTTTTTGTCAATTTTACACATATTTTATTTTTTTATCTCAAAAACATATAAGAGATATGAGAGTAATTTCCAAAAATGTAATATACTTCCATTTAAAATAACAAAGATGCTACCACTTTTCAAATGATCCGGCAACACTGTAACGCTGATAATATTTTAGATAGATAGATATAGAAATCAAAATTTTTAAAACAATTCGCCGGTCCTCCTATTACCATCACGAAGAAGGAAAGTCGGTTACCACTAGCGACTAGACAGCTAACTTTTGAGCTAGAAGGATATTTCGATATTTTTCATTTTTTCCTTCCATTATAAGCTTAAAGCTACCTAAAATTCAAAATTTGAAGTTTGTGACACATCTAGAAGTACTTTAGAATTTTGATGACGGTGAGTGAGTCACTGGCGAAGTTAAAGAAGTTTGACTAGAAAAAAATCATAATCCTTGAATTATTAAGATATGTATTTAATAATATATAATTTGATAATTTAATAGAAGTACCTTAGAATTTTGATGATCTGTCAATGAGTCAATGCTGAAATTAAAGAAATTTGACAAGCGATAATTTATAAACTATGAGGGATAATTTACTACATATTTTGGTAACCTAGCCAGCTATAGTATGTCTTCAAGTGTAGTGAAAATTAATATTCTTGCTTTCTCCACAACGAAGTTACAGGGTGGTCAAAAGTGCCGCTAATACCTTCGAGAAAAGGATGGTACGTCTGTGCTCGACTTGGCAGATAGATATATTTCATTTACTATACTTCATCTCATAGATACTTCATTTTTTTTGAACTTTTACAAATTATACTTCCTAACTCTAGAATAAAATAATTATAAACTTTTTTTTCGTATACTCGCTATTTAAACCCGTGTATTTGTATACACCGGTTGTCTACGATATTCTCCGATAGTGGCAGCCCCGGCGGAGAATGTACCAAGCCTATACTTTTTTATATCATCTATTTGTTTTCGATATTGGCCCAGAACTTTTAAAAGGTAGGTACTGTAAATCGAAAGACAGGAGTATAAAGGATAAATTTATTTAATGACGAAATACGTCTGTATAATCTCTTTTCTCACCTCGATAAACACTAAAATCTAATATATTTAAACCTTGGTCCAGACCTGCAAAAAGATACTGCGAATCAAAAGACAAACTATAAACTGGTGACTTAATGTTATTTCCTTTGCCATCTCGCATGAAATAAAACTGAAACATATTGTATTAAAGTAACATACAAGAAATATGTAATTTATTGTTACTTGGAGGCATTTTCCTGCTCTAGAATCCCATAAACTGACTCTTCCATGCATATAGGCTCCTACCATTATAGTATTATAATAATCGTAGTCTAAACAGTATAAACTGTATCCAAACACATCAAAGAATTTCTGCTCACACTGGCCAGTTCTTAGGTCCCATCTAAAACATTATTGTTAAATTACTTTTAAGTTATAACGTATGACCGAAAAGGATCATGATCCTAAGCCATAAATGTTTTTTTCGATCGTTTCATTATTACAGGTCCTGAAGATAATATGGCAAATAGCAAATTTATAGTTCTTATAATGCCGTTAGACAGAAGATAGAAAGTTGCGGTTTGTGCGTTGACTTTTTGGAATTTTGTGTCATTTTTAGAATTTAGAATTTAGAATGAGTGGGAGGGGGGGTTAATCACTTCGACCTTACAGGTCCATTGTGTCCCCCTTTCTTGAATCATAACTCATCATACAGTCCCAGGGCTTTGACATAAGCCAGTATCTGGGACGGTTTTATAGAGGGTAGTTCTCCATCTCCAATATCAGTTGTACCAAAATTCATGGCACGAATGGTTGTCGTCTCGGCGCACTCAGTGATGAGGTGTACTGGTGTTTCACCATCTTCCCCACAGAATCTGCATTCGCCGTTTCTTCTTAGTTTCAATCTACTGAGGTGTTCATTGAGGAGACAGTGTCCTGTTAAAAACCCCGTGACAATCCGAAGATTGTTCTTACTCAGACCCAGGAAGATCTGTGATTTTTCTTGATCATAAGCCCTCAGAAACTTCTTCGAGTGTCCTAGACCATTGCAAGATTTCCATTCCAGGTTGCGGATGGAATCTTCCAAGTTCTTGAGTTCCGCCTTGAGTTGGTTACCACTTGGAAAGCAGAACGGTTCTGGTCCAGTTAGTGGAGTGTTCGCTCCTTTCCTAGCTAGAACAGGTGTCATATTTGACTATGTAAAAAGAGATATGCCATTTAATTTTTTATACAAACGCGTAATATCAGTTATGATGGCAAACGGCACGGCGCGGCGCACAGTACTCCACTTAAATAGACAACGTGGATAAAAATCGAAACAATGCCTAAAGTGTTGTTGGTTGGTGGTATTTATTAAAGGGTGTATAAAAATTAGTAGTAGTATTTTTCGGGAGGCCTTGACTAGTAGAAAGGAGGGCATCACTATTAATGGGCAGGCCTTAAATAATATGTGGTTCGCGGACGATACCGTCCTTATAGCAGACAACGTGGAGTGTCTGCAAACACTTCTACAAAGACTAAACAACACGTGTAGAGTCTATGGCCAGAAAATGAACCCTAAGAAAACTAAATTTATGATCATCACTAAGAGAGAAGATGTCCAGGCCAATGTTATAATAGATGATACACCTATGGAGAGAGTACAAAAATATAAATATCTAGGCAGTTGGTTGACCGAAAACTTGGATCAATCAGCAGAAATAAAAGCTCGAATAGAAATAGCCAGAGCAGCCTTTGTAAAACTCAAAAAATGTCTTTGCAGTGGAGACATCAACTTAAACCTTAGATTAAGAATGCTGGGTTACATATTTGCAACTCTACTCTATGGTTCAGAGGCTTGGACACTTAAAAAGGCCGAAATGGAGAAGCTTGAGGCATTCGAAAGATGGTGTTATCGGTGTATGCTGAGGATTGCATGGACTGACAAGGTTACAAATGTAGAACTGCGACGCAGAATTCAGAAGGACGAAGAAGTGATTAACACCCTTAAAAAGAGAAAACTTGAGTACTTTGGACACATAATGAGAGGACCTAAATATGCCCTGCTGCAGAACATAATAGAAGGAAAGATAAAGGGCAGAAGGAGCCAAGGAAGAAGAAGAACATCATGGCTCAAGAATTTGAGAGAATGGTTTGGAATGACTTCAAACCAGTTATTCAGAGCAGCCATTAACAAAGTTAGAATTGCCATGATGATTTCCAACCTCCATTAGGAGATGGAACCCGAAGAAGAAAAACTAGTGAAAATAAGATAACCCGAAGAAAGCTATGTATTTATCTTAAAAATAAGTAAAGAAATTAAATATTTTGTTTCATCTACAAAATTCTCAAGACGTGTTTACTTGGAAAACAGGCCTTGTGATCTGGATGAGCAGCATTCAAAACTTTTCTTAGTAAACAATATTTTTGCTCGGAAAGATCTAAATCTAAGACCAACGCAACAGTTTTTCTTTCTGGAGATACACAGTATTCTGGTTGGGGTAAACCTCGGGTTAAACTACTAGATGTTGGACTTATCCTCGCGGCAAAACTTAAATCTTCTGCTGGAGTAGAACTAAGGAGATGTGTAACTCGTCATGCTTCACTAAATAGCTTAAGAGTCCTTCCACGACTAGTTCCTGGCTGATGGAGATTGGCATCTTCTCGGGCATTAAAGATGTTGCCAGTAGTATGAATTTGCAATTAAGCAAAGAGTAGTATTTGTTCCTAAAATATGTTTTATTATAATGACAAGTTTTTAATTTACTTTTCACAGTCATAGAAAAATACTGCACTTTCTCCTAAACTCTGATATTGAGCATCGGAACAGACTTCGTAACTTAGTAAAAACCTAATTTTTTCAATAAGTTTGGGTACTTTTTCATTTTCCTCGTAACGGAACCACCCCTCCACTCTAAACTAATATTTTTAATAATGTTTGCCTACAATTATTAAAAAAACTCCAAAAATTAGGGTAGGTGAAAAGCTAAGACCCCACCCCCCAACACACCCGCTACCCGTGAGACATGACCACAGACAGTATGTCTGGTTGTCTGGTATGATGGACAGGAAAGTTCCATTCAGCATCTTTATACGTCTTGGTGTAATTCCCTGGCTACGACACTACACCCAGGGACAAGACACCGAGATGCCTCCTTAGACCCAGCCAAAGTGTTAAAGGCCCGATGAGAGTAAAAAAAAGGCCGCGACACACGACATAGCGTCATACGAAGCGTCACGGTGTAAGGTCGCCAAACATCACGAAAATGGTAACGATCTTGGTAACGGAATGTAGCTTTTTTTTCAATATCATGAAAAACTCTTTTCATGATATTTTGTCGACGTTTCATGAACTATGAAACCCCATTATCAATAGCAAAAAAATCTTCCTATTTAATGGGTCTTTATAGCATCGTAATTCGGGCTCTATGAGAGCTAGCTGAGGGAAGCGACCCATCTTTTCATATTTTGACGACGTTTCGTGTACTACGAAACTCATCATCAATGAATCAAATAAAAAAATCGTCCGATTTAAATGAAATTTGGTATATCGATAGATTGGACCAACGCAAACTTGATTGTGTACGACACGTGATACTGTGACAGTTAGTTTTGACGTAAGAAAAGTCAAAAGGTGATGCCGTCTGATTGGGACCAAATTAAGTGGGTAGGTTATGTGAGCTACCGTGCACCCGGTCCCGCCCTCCAAAGTTGGATAAGACGTTTCGTTTACATCTTCATCAGGGTGGAACTAAGGATTTGATATTGAAGAAAATGTAGGATGATTTCGATATAATTGGGGACGGGCTACAATATGACGCCCTCGACATTTAGAACCGATGCCTCTAAATGGATAAAATCATCAGGATTTTTCTTAATTATGGGCCGATTGGAACCTCGGCACGTGGATAAAGGTACCCGAATGGAGTCCTCAGAAGGACAGACGGACAGACAGACACACAGAAGTAAGAGGAAGTTCAAATATGCATATAGTGCACACACAATTTTTTTTTGTTTCATGTCTTGGTATTTTGCAGGTGCATTGGTTGCATAAACTAAGTATTTTATTAGCATTTTAAAATCTGAATCTAAAATTGAATACCTAATTTGTATTATTAAATCGGTGACAGAGTAAGACAAAATGAATAAAATAAGTAATCTGTTAATGAAACATTTTTCTACACACTATATTGTTCAATGTAAGAAATGTACACTGTTAACTGTAAATTTTGGAGTACTACTCGGAAACTACTCAACTCTAATTCTGGTAATTCTTTTTGTTATTTGATATTTTCTAAAATTGACACGTTATCATATTTAACTAAAAGTACTCGGAAATTTTTTTTCCCAGGCTAATTTTTTGGGTCTTTTGTATTAAAATAGAGCGTGACACTCAAAAATTTCCCCCTCCGACAGGGCGCCTATAGTGGCCTCGCCTATGTGCTAAGACATGGACCGCCATTGTTATTATTACATTTTACTCACAATTATTACCTGCGTATGTAACTGTCGTTTCCACATGACCAAAGACCATTTGGACCATCCCATTTAATATCATGGGTTGAAGATATTATATCATCAGATTTTAATTTCAGGCTTACCGCTTCTGAGAAACTAAAAAGAGAATTGACTACTACTAATGCTCAAAATAATTTATATTTTTAAAACCTTTCCGTATCATAAACATATATAGAATTTGTAACCTTCTTCATTGTAAAGTAGTGAGATGTGCCACACGCAAACAAAGATTTCTCATTGCAGAATGAAACACACCACACACGATTATCCAACTCTTGAGTATGTATTAAGGTTAAAGCTAAAAATTAAGAAAAATTAAATTGTAATATATTTTTTGAATTAGTTAATATAACAAACCTCCTACCTAATGAATCCTGATGAACAGAAAAAATTTGGAAACAATCATTCCTCATTCCACCAGCAACTATATGTTGATCTTTTGTTATATCAACTGAAGATGTAAATGTATCTTCGTCCATAGTAACATAATAACTAGATTTATCCAATGCATTTTGCAGAAAAATACCACCATTACTGAAATATTCCACAAATTAGTATTATTAATTTAATCAGAGCGCAGTTCTACATAATATCATCTGCATAAGTGAAAAGACGATATCAAGTTGCCTTGGCTGACACCATTGCCATAGTTACATGACGCCAAAATGCCAGATAAATTAAGAAATCAATCGATAACTGACCTTGATGCCATTTGACCAATAGGAAAATAGCATTTCAACGCAAGTGTATTACTTAGTGTTACACTTAGGTCCTAGCGGCCGCAGTGGAGAGTACCACCTGGGGCCATTCTTAGTATATACAATACTGTTACGTTTTTCGTCGGTTCCGTGTGGATAGAAAGTCACAATTTATTTAAACACTATTTATTTAACACTAATTAACAAAAACAATAACGATAAAAGACTTATAGAACTATTTAGAAACGATTTATAACTAAGAATTTATTTTGAATTTTAGCGCGTCAACTGCACTGGTCGATTTATAACTGCCCTCTCTAGGCCACAGCCGCCAGCTTTTATACCTACAGTTAAAGTTTACTAGAATAGTCCATAGATCGTTAGGTGCATAGAGAAGGTTTTCGAATGTTCTCGTATGTACTACTCCATTCCAGTGGGACTCGATCCTTCTCGAATCTTCGAATGAAGCATTGCGGTATCTATGCGATATTAAGGTCATCCGAGGGCGGGCCATATTGTTAGGTTAGGTCGAGTCCACACCAGTCCGCAACACTGCCCCCTTCTTAGGTACATGCTCGTCCCGAGATGTACACGGTGAATGAAGGTATTTGCAAAGCTGGCCCCTGGTACATTGCGAAGTCTGGTAGAAATAGCAGTCAACAGTTTTCTCTCCCGATCTCAGCTTTGGGTTGTAGCAGCAAACAAGGATCTCGATTCCCGTAAATCTGAACAAGACTTCAATCATGTTCCGGATTGTACGCCAACTCAAACCATCGAGTCCACACGCCAGCTTCGGAATGGCTAATCGTGCAATGTTGTTGTTTAGCAGGGCTTCTCTCAGTTCAATCAGGGTCTTCCATAGATTGAGATAAGTCGGCTTACTCGGGGACCATTCCTTGGTGACCAGGTAGAAGATGTGCCTTGCTTGACCATGTGCATTGTCGGTTAGCCTCAAGACGCTTCCAACCTCTGGATCCTGTCGGCGTAGTTCTCCGACACGCCCAAACTTCTCATTGAACGTCGCAGCGATTCCTCTGGACATCCGCAAATCTCGAGCCACACAATGAGCGAGCGAATAATCAGGAGGCACGGAAAAGAGGTCTCGTTGATCTTCTTTGGTTACACCATAGCGAGCCTTCTCACTGCTGTTGTATCGGGCCATGAAATCGTCAAAGGACATCTCCGAATCAGGGGGATCAAAGCTGCAGGTTCTCACGGTCCCAGCACGATCTTCTATTTCGCCTTGGTAGGGGCTCAAACGGTTGAAATGGACTACCCTCGGTTTTCCTTTTGGCAATTTTCTGATACGGTATACGACGTCATTAATTCTATCCATGACTTCGTATGGCCCTTCCCACGAGGATTGTAGCTTCGGAGATAACCCACGACGTCTCTGCGGGTTATATAGCCACACCAACTTCCCTGGTTGGTATCCTCCATGCTCAGCTTGAATGTCGTAGTGTTCCTTCATTCGGTCACTAGCACTTTGAATATTTAGGCGGACTCTCTGATGAATGTCGTCCATCCTTTGACGTAGTGTGTGGACATAATCTTCTCCGGCGACTTCTTCTCCCGGTCGGCAACCAAATTTCAGATCACAGGGTAGGCGCACTTCCCGTCCCATAACGATGCTGGCTGGAGTTTGCCCTGTAGATTCTTGGACGGATGAACGGTAGGCCAACAGGAACAGGTGAAGAAATTTGTCCCAGTCTCTTTGGTGGTCAGAGACTACTTTGGCCAGATAACGGTTGATAGTTCTGTTCATGCGTTCAACCATCCCATCGGATTGTGGATGTAGAGCAGTCGTCCTGGTCTTGCGGATGTTCAGGACTTCACAGACGCCTTGGAACAGATTGGACTCAAAGTTTCTTCCCTGATCTGAATGAAGCTCCATGGGAACACCAAACCTGCAGATCCATTCTTTAACAAGGGCATCAGCAATCGTGGACGCTTCTTGATTTGGCAACGCGTAGGCCTCGACCCATTTGCTGAAGTAATCCATTACTACCACAATGTATTTGTTGCCATCGTTCGTCTCCGGGAAAGGACCAGCCACGTCGATCGCTATTCGTTCGAAGGGACTACCAACATTGTACTGGCGCATAGGGGCTTTACCACGCTTTTGTGGCCCATTGATGGCTGCGCAAATGTCACATTTCTTACACCAGGCCCTCACATCTTCTTTGCAGTTCACCCAGTAGAACCGTTCACGCAGCTTGCCAAGTGTCTTGGTAACACCCAGATGTCCACCGCTGGTTCCATTGTGAACTTCCTCCAAGACTTTGGAATGACGATCTGCCTTCTCTCTTCTTGTCCCTCCGGCCTCTCGATCACACGGCGAAGTACCTAGTCCGTTATCTATTACCAAGGAATTCCACTGGGCCCAGTACGACTTTACGTTCGGCGAATATCTGCAAACTTCCTCACACGTTGGTCTTTGGCCTGCGTTTTTCCAGTTAATTACTAAACCTAATTCTGGGTCACTGATTTGGTCATTTGCAAGATCTTCGGGTTGCCAACTATCATTAACCACAGTTGTTCTTAGGAGTTTCACTTCTTTCTCTTCTGCTCGGGAACAATGTTTACAGTCCTTAGCGCAAGGTCTTCTGGAAAGTGCGTCGGCATTCCGATGGATTGCCCCAGCTCGATGTTCTGTATCGAAGTCAAATTCTTGTAATCGTTCAATCCATCTAGCTACCTGCCCTTCAGGATTCTTAAACTGCAACAGCCATTTCAAAGCAGCATGGTCTGTTCTTAACAAGAACTTTCTTCCATAGAGATACTTGTAGAAGTGTTCCACTGCTTTAACTACTGCTAGTAATTCTCGTCTGGTTACACAGTAGTTCCTTTCCGGTTTTGACAAGGTCTTACTAAAATAACCAATGACTTTTTCTTGACCATCCTGGATCTGAGAAAACAGCGTCTAACGCAACATTGCTAGCGTCGGTATCCAATATAAAGTTTCCGTTGCCAAGAGGGTAGCTAAGTATGGGCGCACTAGTCAGGGCCTTCTTCAATTTTCGGAATGCCTCATCAGATTCTGAGTCCCAAGAGAAACGCCTCTCGCCTTCGGTAAGTCTGGTCAATGGTTTTGCGATGGTGGCGAAACCCTGTACATAGCGGCGATAGTATGTGCATAGTCCCAATAAGCATCGTAGTTCATGTTTATCTTTAGGTATTGGCCACTCTTCCACTGTCTTGGTCTTCTGTGGATCTACCGCAACTCCTTGGAAGGAGACTACATGGCCCAAGTAGTGTACCTTTTCTTGACACAGATGACATTTCTTGGGGCTAAGTTTCAAACCAGAGCTCCCTAGTCGCTTGAAAACTTCTTTCAAATTCTTCAGATGATCGTCAAAGGATTTCCCAAGCACTATGATGTCATCCAGGTACACTAAACAGGTAGTCCAGGATAGTCCCTTTAACACAGACTGCATTAGTCTCTCAAAGGTAGCTGGCGCGTTGCATAATCCAAAAGGCATGACGGTAAATTGCCACAGTCCAGAGCCCACCGAGAACGCTGTCTTCTCTTTGTCTTTCGGCGCCATGTCGACTTGCCAATATCCACTCTTCACATAGAGAATATCGTTGACCCCGCCAGCGTGTCTAGAGTATCGTCTATCCTCGGCGGGGGATAACTATCCTTCTTGGTAACATTATTGAGCTGCCGATAATCAACACAGAACCTGGTGGTACCGTCTTTCTTCTTTACTAGTACTACCGGCGATGTCCACGGGCTGTTAGATGGTTCGATGACACCCTCTTCTTTCATTTCTCGAAGGATTTTATCAGCTTCTTCACGTTTGGCGAGCGGAAGTCTTCTCGGATTTTGTTTGATTGGTCGTGCATCTCCGGTATCAATTTTATGTTGTACTAAATTGGTACGACCTCTCTGTCCTGTTTCTCCTTTATCAAACACATCTTGATACTTGATTATCAGGTTTCTCAATTTTCTATTTTCAGGAGATAATCCTTTAACGTTTACTAACTCCTTCACCATTTTGTCCGGAATTTTTGAAGTCGAAACTTTGGAGGCTTCCACGCTTCGAATGACTGAGGAGACTGAACAACAGTACCCTAAAAGGGTTCCCTTCTTCAAGGATACAGAATAATAATTCGTGTTCATTACTCTCACCGGTACAGTTTTCTTCACTCGCAGCAGGGCTTTTCCAACAGCGATCCCTCGTCCTATTTCGCTATCATGGTTCCTTGGCTCCAACAGAATAATACTTCCATTATTCATTTTACCTTCCAGGCAACCATCCAAAAATATCTCACAGCGCTCAGGGATCGAAACATCTTCTGCTACCACCACGCGAAGAGTCTCCTCACATTTTCGATGTAGAACCAGTTCTTCTTCATTTATTTTCAAAATTCGCTGTTTGAAGTTTAGTTCAAAACCTTTAGTGGTCATAATGTCCATTCCGAGAATAAGTTCATCTTCGATATCTGCTACTAACACTGGATGTTCAAAACTGGTGCTCCCAATAACAAAATTAAGGTTTACTTCTCCATGGACAGCAGCGGAGCCCCCCGTAGCAGTACGTAGTCGCCATTGTGTTGTTTTAACCTTCTTCGATGTTTTAAGAATGTCCGGTCTGATGATAGTTTTCGTCGCACCTGTATCCAACAGCATGGTCCGGAACTCTCCATCAACAAAACCATCCACAAAAATGCTGTTGAATTTGTGCTGTAGCGAGGCGACTTGAGCAGTTTTCGTTGGGGCATGTTGGGTACAGGTCGACGTGTGCCCCTTCATTTCGACCCTTAGTAGTTTTCCGACCTCGACGAAGCCGGTTCTTCGTTCTTCTCCTTACAACGGCTTCGCACGTGTCCTACCTGTCCGCAGTTCCAGTAACGAATCGGTCCCTTCTTGCCCATATACTGGTCCATTACCTTCCGAACAATCCCTTCCACGGATTCGTCGGAACATTCGTCGATGGCCCGTACTCTTCCTAAAGACCGAGAACTTTGTTTCGCGGCCTCAAATTCTAGGGCACGTGCTAAAGCATCCACCAAGTGCGTTGGGTGGGCTAGGAGAAGTGCTTGTCTTGTCTCGTTGTCACGTAAGCCATCGGAGAATGCCTGTACTGCCAACCGCTCCATAACATTCTCGGGCGTAGCAGGGTACGCAAGGCGAACGAGGCGGGCTACGTCGGCTTCAAACTCCTGCAGAGATTCATTTGCCTTTTAAATGCGATTTTTTAGCTGGGAATGATAGACATGTTCCAAATGAGCTTGGCCGTACCAATTGCTGATAATCTCCCTGTTCCGATGGTGGCAGTGTCTGCAGGATGTCAGTCGCATCTCCTCGCAGTGCGACAGTCAAAGCGGTAGCCTTTTCAGCGATTGTCCATCCGTTCGCTCTCGCAGCGGCTTCAAATTGGCAAAAATAATTGGCCCAAGCGGTTTTTCCGTCAAACTGTGGAGGTTTCATAACTGATTTTGAGGTATACCTATTTTCGACTAGTTTCGGTCCCTCCGATGTTTCGTGACATTTTGGTGAATTTGACTTCGCTATTTTTTCCTTTATAATTTCGATTTTTCTGTTGACATCGTCCTCAATCTGTGCTATTTTGTCTTGTAGCTCCGTGGAATTCTCTATAATCTTTTCTTCTAATTCCCTGGAATTTTCTATTATCTTGTTATATAAACTTTCTTCTAAATTAAGTATTTTATTATTAAAGCTGGCCTGTATATCTTTAGAATTTTCTTAGATTTTATCTTCTAATTTTTGGGAATTTTCCGTCATTTTATCACTGATTTTATTATTCAAATTGTCTTCTAATTTTTGTAAGGACGAGTCAAGGTCACCTTCCAGCTCGAAGTGAAATATGTCAGGATCCTCACCTTCCTCCACCAAAACGTCTCTCAGTCTAACTTGCAAAATGTTTTTTTTTCCATCTGTCTCACATTCTCTCTCTTCCAGTATGCATTTTAATTCCGACACTTTCAAGTCCTTCAACAATTTTTTCGAAGCCATTTTCAGTCTTATTTATTTTTTTTTAGTCTATCACACACGCCACACTTGACACCAATTGTTACGTTTTTCGTCGGTTCCGTGTGGATAGAAAGTCACAATTTATTTAACACTAATTAACAAAAACAATAACGATAAAAGACTTATAGAACTATTTACAAACGATTTATAACTAAGAATTTATTTTGAATTTTAGCGCGTCAACTGCACTGGTAGATTTATAACTGCCCTCTCTAGGCCACAGCCGCCGGCTTTTATACCTACAGTTAAAGTTTACTAGAATAGTCCATAGATCGTTAGGTGCATAGAGAAGGTTTTCAAATGTTCTCGTATTCCAGTGGGACTCGATCCTTCTCGAATTTTCGAATGAAGCATTGCGGTATCTATGCGATGTTAAGGTCATCCGAGGGCGGGCCATATTGTTAGGTTAGGTCGAGTCCACACCAGTACGCAACAATACAATACAAGTTTATTACTTTCATCTCCTAAACAAGGACGAATTTATGTTCCCAAACCATACAAACTCTATTTTCTCTCCTTCTATATTCGATACTGGTACATAAATCCTCTCATTGCTTAAGCAGGTCTCATACAATCAGTATTATAGACAGTATTTCTAAACACTGTCAGTAATAATGACCATGTGAGGGCAAAAATACTGATAGGACTGTCAGTATACTGATATACTTTGGCAATTCTGAAAGCCATTTTGGGATACTGACAATAATACTAATTATGCGAGGTCCGCTGGGAAAACCGTAGTATATTCTTTTATATTGTTGCGGACCTGTGTGAATTCACCCTAAAGTCCAGGACACACCTATCATGCACATTTCCGATCCGGCTCCGATCATACAGTCGGACGACTGTATGAGAGGGAAATCGTACGTTATTTTAACCAGCGTAGTTTACACCTTTCCGATACGTGATTCATCCCCGCTCCTACTCGACTCCGTTCCTGCATCCGTTCGTGTTCCGAATGTCAGTCTATTCGTCGATGCCGGCTGTGGGACAAGTGTCGTTTTGAACTATTTTGTTTATTTTTGTTTTTGCTGTTATTTTTAGTTTTTTACTACAGTAATAAAAAATTTCAACAATAAAACCGGAGGAACTAATTGGAGAAGTGAGGAAATATCCAGTGCTGTATGACCAGACCAAAGAGCAGTACCGAAACTCCGACTACAAAGATATGAAATCTGCCTTTTTGGCTGTTCTCTATAAAAGCTTTCTCATTTTCCTCATCTTCTTCTTCCAAACAAAGTGCCACCATGGCTACATCACTGTTGCTAAAAGTATTAAACATTTTGCGCACACGACTTTATGCGATGATTATTGAATAAAGACAGATTGTATCCAGCCGAAGCCCGAAATCGTGAAGGAGTCGGAAACATGTATGACATGTGTGTACTCACCATTTCCGATCCCGGCCTTAACCCGTTCTAATATATCCCGCCCCCATATAATATCGCATTAAAGAAGAGACACCGCAGCCGATCGAACGTTCGAGAACAATCGAGTTCCACTAGAATGGCGGTGTACATAGGAGAACATTCTAAATCTTCTCTATGCACCTAATGACCTACTATCTAGATGGCTCTACTAAAGCCCCGTTCTCAGAACTGCGTCGTGTCGACAGCGACACTGATTGACACTTCAAACGACCAATGGGAGCTGTACTAAATTTAAAATTGACAGCTGTTTGAATTTTGTATAAATCTCATTGGTCCTCTTGACGTGTCGCTGGCGACAGTCGCTGTTCTGAGAACGGGGCTTAAAGCCCAGTTCTCAGAACAGCGACTGTCGCCAGCGACACGTCAAAAGAACCAATGAGATTTGCACAAAATTCAAAATTGACAGCTATTTGAATTTCGTACAAATCTGATTGGTTCATTTGACGTTGCGCTGGCCACAGTCGATGTTCTAAGAACGATCCTTAACCCGACGCCGCGGTACAAGGAGGACAGAAACAAACAGATCGGTCGACGCGTACAATTGTCGCGCTAAATTCAAAATAAATTCCTTTTAGATAAATAGTAAATAAGTTGTAAATAGTTCTTTAATTAGTTTTATCGTTATTGTTTTGTTACTTAGTGTAAAATAAATTGTGTTTAAATAAATTAGACTGTCTATCCACACACGGAACCGACGAAAAACGTAACAATATATCTATGAAAAAATTACAATTTGCATGTGCATTAAAATGATAGCCAAAACTGTTACTGGGCATCTATCATGTATCCTCGTTTGTCAGACTTCAGACTATACAAAGTTGTTCACCACATACGACACGGAATATTGTAGCTAAACAATTAGATTTTTACAAATTGTTTTAGGTTCGTTGAGGGACTATTAGAGCTACAATTTAAAAATATTTTTACAAGATACAGAGTGTCCCGAAATAAAAAATATTATAGTTCTTTTTTCTTAAATGGAACACCCTACATATTATTCTATTTCTAGATTCTACGATTGAAATAAAGGTAAATTTGATTAGGGTTTATCACACTTAAACCTTACTGTTTTTGAAATATTTTCAATTTTGTGAAATTGCTGTAAAATTTTTAAGGCTTCATTTCTCAAAGGGTATCAAATTTTTTAATACTAAATATTTACTGAAGATTATTTATTGATCAGACATTGTGCAATAATAAGAATAAAACTGTCTTATACAGAGTATCAAAAAATTTATTTTAATTAATTACTAGCTTTAGATGGCAATAACTTGTGTAATTTAAATGGAACACCCTGTATATTTTACGAATCAGATGCACAATTTAATTGTCTATCAAAGAGTATTATATCATTTTTACCTATCTGTTCAAGTTTTCCTAGAAAATCAATTTTCTTATAATTTAGACCTCATTTATCAAGATACCCATGGAATATTGACATTTTAGATTGTTTAGACACCCTGTGTAAGGTGATATAATTTATTATTGCGACACAAAATTTAGTAAATAGAAAAATTTCAGTACAATATTTAGTTTTAAAAACTTAAATATGTATGCCTAGAGAAATGAAGCATTAAAATTGTTACTGTATTTTAACAAAAACGTAAATATTTCAAAAACGGTAAGTAAAAATTAAAAATGTAATAATATACAGGGCGTTCCATTTAAAAAAATACAACTTTGATATTTTTTATTTATTTGGGACACTGTAAAAATTTTGTAAAAATATTTTTAAATTGTAGCACTAATAGTCCTTCAACGAATCCAAAACTTAAAATTTGTAAAAATTTAATCCTTTAGCTACAATACTCCGTGTTTTTGTGGTGAACAACCAACATGAAGGGTGAGGGGAAAAAGCAGATAAGTCAATTTTTTTGCTATATTTTAATATTCAGTGCATTCTGTTCAGAGTGAGTGTAAGCATCTTAAGAAACCACTAAACTGGGAAAAAAGCAGCCTGGTCAGAAAATATATAGTGTTAAAGTTATACTATAAAGGAAAAAATACAGGCAACTCAACCAAAAACAGGAAAGAACTAGGCAATTTGTTGTTGAGTTTGTATGTTTTGTATGTAAAAATGGTATTTTATCTAATAAAAATACCTTTAAATACACCTCACCTAGTTCTAACATCTCTATTACTATTCCCAGACCTGCTGCCAATTTCCATTGTGAAAGTTTTGAACATAAAATTGTGCTTTTCCCAGTTTGGAGGGATATTGACTTACCTGCTTTATTCCCCTCACCATTCATGTGTACCATATCTATAGCAAGTGTATTGTACTAACTAATTTCTTATAAGTAAAAATTATTGGAAATATTTATTACTAAACACCTAAAACCAGATATACCTTAAACCTCCCACAATTAAGTTCTTATTAATGGTAAATCTTGTTATGTCTATATAGTGTTTTTGGCGTGAAGGTTCATAATAACATTTTGTATTTATAACTAAATTTGGTGCCACCTTCATTATGCTTTTACTACTGCGTTTATAATTAAATAAGTGTGAACCTTTACTAAGCCACACATTCTCTTTGTCAATTTCCAACCAAGGCCTATATTTCCTTTTAAAGGTACATACTGATCTCTCATTGTATATACCATGTTTCCAGTTATGCTGCAATCTTAGTTTTTCTATTTTTGATGGGACTATCGAATAACATCTATAAAAAAATAAGATTTGCTTAATAAGTATTCATAATGCAGAAAACCGTACCTCCTGATAAATACTCCGCTATTTTGATTACTAACAATGGTGGTAGTTTTAAAAAATACATGATCCCAACAATTTATAACATCTCGAAGCCTCCTACATGTACACCTTAAGCGCGATATATCTTTTAAACTCAAAAAACTGAATATTGAAATTAAAATTTCCGTAGATAAGTCTTCAATAGTACATTCTGGCATTATTTATTTACAAAGCTAAGAAAAATATTTGTTTTTTCTGCAAATCTACAACTATATCTACAACTTTTAAAATAGGTTAAGTCTGGGTTTAGTCAAGGTTAACAGGGTTGTTCTTTAAAAAATTTCGATTGTGAATCAGGCAACTTCAAAATTATGCATATTCAATTGAAAATCTGCATCTGTGGTTATTTGACTTGTCGAATCCGAATCAGAGCAGGGTTCGGAAGTAGTTAATTAAGACGTAATTTACCTGATTAAGTACGTGTAGTTTTTCTTCAAAAACTACGTCTTTTCCCGTTCATTAACTACATGAAAACTACGTTAATAAATTATGTATTGATATTATGAATAATTTTCATTTGTATGAGGTGTAATAGAGATAATATGATGTAAATATTATATTTAAAGCCATATTTCTTCTGTTTTCTTAAATACATTATGTGTTTTTAAAGCTTTAACTTATTATAACCGCACCTCAAACCTTTGATATTTGAAAGTTACATACATAGGTTACATAAACTACACCATATACATAAACTACATTAACTACATGTAATGTAGTTTATGTAGTTTTTAAAAGTAACATGTAGTTTTCCGAACCCTGCCAGAAGATACGTAAAAATTAGTTTTGTACATTAGGAATTTCTTTGAGGAATTTAAATATCCCATCCCTGAATACCATAGAATACATTACCCAAATTTGACATATCAAATTATTGACAGAATTTAAAAAATATTAATGATAATTTGACAGTTGACGGTTTTAGGATGTGTTGTGTATTGATTATGGAGGGCTTAAAAAGACTTTTAGACTCCATAGTATTGATAATTGTTAATATTTTAAATAGGTATAAATATTTTTTTAATATGTTATATGCGTTTACCGGCCTTTTAGTTCATTCTAACATATGTGTTTTCTATTTATTGAGTCTTTAAACCATTTCAAGTGTGTTATAAGAATTATAACCTATTCTTTTGATATTGCTTATGTTTTTTAAATTTTACTTCTAGTCTTATAAATGTTTAAAAACAATTAACTGGTTGACAATGGATGTAACTACTGCTCATGGCTTAGTTCTTGAAGTATTACATCAAGCATCGAGTCAAGATCCCTCAATATTAAGACCAGCAGAATCCAAATTAATGGAATGGGAGACGGAAGCTGGCTTTTACAGCATTTTGAACGTAATTATAATTTACATGTTTTAATTTTTGACTAAGCTTCTACTATTCTTACTTTACAGAATATAATTACAAACCATACATTAGATGTTAATGTAAGATTTATGGCAGTATTGTATATGAAGAATGGCATAGACAAATATTGGCGAAAGAACGCACCTAAGTAATGTTTAGACAATCTCATTGAACCTAGAAATAATTTTTGTGTTTCAGTGGTATAACAGAACCTGAGAAATGTAGTATTCGTCAAAATATATTGCTAAATTTTAATGAACCTGTTAATCAAATTGCTATCCAAAGAGCAGTATTAATATCAAAAATAGCAAGAATAGATTATCCTAGAGAGTGGCCAGAATTGTTTCCATTATTATTAAATGTTGTAGAGAGTAACGACATTTTAATTCAGCATAGAGCTTTGCTAACATTACATCATGTAGTTAAAACGGTCTCTTCAAAGAGATTAGCAGGTATTTACTAGAATAAAAAAAAGTAACATAAGAACTGTTTTATATTTGTTATAGGTGATAGAAGGTTATTTCAAGAACTTACCAATCAGATGTTTCCTTATATATTAAATTTATGGAATGAGTTAACTACTGCATTTATTCAAGGAGTAATGCAAAATGTGGAAGAACGTGTTATTGAAACAAATTTAGAAAAAGCATTATTGTTATTAAGAATATTGAGGAAATTGTCTGTTTTTGGTTTTCTTAAACCACACACAAATAAAGATTGCATGACATTCATTGGGATGATTTTTGAAAAAGCAAAGAGTTCATTAATTTGCTGTAAGTAAAAAATAATATAAATAAAAATGTATTATTATTATTTAGTTTCATCTTACATGATATCATAAAATTCAATTGAAATTATATACAGGTTGGTAAATGGTTGGTAATGGGTCATTTCATTTTAGATTAAATATTAAAAATCAAAAGTCATATTTCTTGCATAAGAGTTTATAAGATGCTTTCATTTTTCAAGTTTTGACAAGAATATCATAGAAAGAAGTTATTTGGTTTTTTAAATTATATGTGTAATTGTATGTAATAATTTTCAGTTATTTTTTTAAAGCTGACGGAGGAAGGAGCTTTACTTCTGTAACTGAAAAATATGTCCAAAGGACTTTCCATTCAGTTGTTCAGATTAAGGGGGATTATAGGGGATGTTTAAATAAGATTTCTTCAGCAAAATATGGTGATATAGGGCGTGCCAAAAGGGTTCGCAACAAATAATTTTTTTTTTATTATACGAGCCCTAACAACTATATGTTGGGACAAAGTCATATTTTGGAATTATTGCCCTGGTTTTTCAAAATTATTTTTCAGTAATTTTGAAAAACCAGGGCAATAATTCCAAAATATGACTTTGTCCCAACATATAGTTGTTAGGGCTCGTATAATAAAAAAAAATTATTTGTTGCGAACCCTTTTGGCACGCCCTATATCACCATATTTTGCCGAAGAAATTTTATTTAAACATCCCCTATATGTTTATATAAATATGTTTAATTTTTTAAATATAACCATAGCCATACATCTTAAACAACTTGACAATACTTTTATGAATTTGTAAATCAGTCCATATTTACAGTACCTAGCGGATTTTGTTCATAAAAGTACAAATTTGCTGATAACTTAATGTTGGGACAAGTATTTTTAAATAATTAATATCATCATAGGCGGCTTTGCTATAAACGTCACAAATGCCGCAAACTGTTTACTTCAGCATTGACAGCTTGTAAGTGACTCGATACTTTGAGTAGTGAGATTTACTGTAAGTAATTTAAATTTTTTTAATTTTCAATTTTGTTAATTTAATTGAAAGTAATGGTCCCTGGAAAAGCTACAAATCAAAAACTACGCGAAATTATCATTCGTCAATTCGAAAAATTTCTGATGATTTAAGTATTCCAAAAACCACGGTCTTTAATATAATAAAAAAAATACGGCGAATCTGCCAATGTAGACGTTAGAGGTAAAAGTTCGGAAATTTAAAAGAAAGTTGTATATCAGAGAGATTTGCGAAATTTAGTAAAAATTTTCAAATCTGCGAGAAGAAGTACTCTTCGCGTAGTAACAGTTAAATGGAATACTGTAACTGGTTTAAATTTTAAATATATCAATGTTGCCGAAAATATATCCATAAATGCGGTCTGGGGTTTTACAAGGTAAACTTTATTTTGTGTGGATAATCAATTACCTGAAGATTATTGATACAAATTCTTATTTAGACCAAAGAAAAACCGCTACTGACAGAAATTCAAAAGAAAAATCACTACAATTAGGCAAAATCTAAATTATCGTGGACACGAAATAAAGCAGAAGCCTTTCATACAGATTGCTTAAAGAGGGTTGTTAAATTTCCTAAGGGGATTATGGTTTGGGGTTGCATGTGAGCAAGAGGTTTGGGCAAATTAAATTTTATAGATGGCACTGTTAACGCCCAAAAATATCAACATATACTTGAGACCTCACTTTTGCCTAGTGCTCAAGAATTGTTTCCAAATGAAGACTATATTTTCCAACAAGATGGAGCATTGTGCCATTCAGCAAAATCAACTAAATATTGGTTCGGTAATAATAATATAAAAGTTCTATCCCATCCTGCAAGTAGTCCGGACCTCAATGTTATAGAAACTGTATGGCATAAAATGAAGCAATATTTAAGAAACCACTCTCAACAAACAATTTTTATTTGCGGACAAAACTGCAGGAAATTTGGGATAATCTTTCTTCTCAAATATGCCAATCTTTGGTAAATACAATGCCATTAAGAGTTCAGGCAGTTGTTAAGGCGAAAGGTGATGTAACTCAAATTTCTTGTGCTGTCCCAATATATATTTGTCAGCAAATTTGGCTTGATTTTGGCAAAATAAGCTATTATCAAAAGTGATTTGTTTGCAAAGTTATAAAAATATAGTAAAATTGTCTAGATCATTTTGTAATGTTTGAATTTAGAATAATAAACAAAATAAATTGAGTCATTTTAACAAATTACTATTTTTATTGCAAAAAAAGACATTGTCCCAACATATAGTTGTTAGAGCTCGTAAAAAAAGCTTGTGTAATTTCTTCGACATACCCAATTACAAAAAAAATAATTTTGACAGTTGGCATGTTAATCAGAAGTTAGATGTTAATATATCAAATAATAGCCCAATCATTTTAGTTGAAATTTCACAAAAGAATAAAAAAAATAGAGTCAAATATTTTGCTGCAGTTAGTTTCTATTTGACAAGTAGATGACAAAATCACAATCTTGCTCATATATTTGGTATGGGGAGTATGCGCCCTCTTGGATTGTATGTTTTGGCTTGTGATTTGCAAGCCCTCGAAATTTTCCATAAACTGTTTCCAATAGCGCGTGAATACAAAAATCTCATTTATTGCAAACATTTTGTCACACCCTATATAAGTAAATTACATAAAATAAATGCAAAACAATTTCCGTTGCATTTGATCAACTTTGAGTGACAAGCGATGGCGACAGCCCTGCCAGATTGTGATGGATTTATGAGATGAATCTTAAATCTTAATGTAAAATTGGGAAACAATATATTTACTATATAATTTCTTAAAAAATATCTTTACGTTTTATTTTTAATTTGATAATTAATATATTAATAATATCATTAATTGATTTATTTGTTTTAAAGCTTATATTACTTACTACATATATTGGCAAAAACTAGTCCATTATGAAGATTATTCGAAGCGTTATTATGGGTTATTTATTTATTCATTGATGTATAGGGTGATTCAAACTTCCCGCCCTTGGCTTATAACAGGAAAAGGAAAACTGCAAATACAAATTTCGAAGACAGGATTTGAATGGTAGTGTGTAAGGTAATTTTTTTTGTATTTAAGCATGTTCTTTCAGAATATGAGAAAAAATTATGACTTTGTGAAAAAAATATTTTTTTTGACGTCATTTCCACCATTTTGAAAAATGTTTAAATACGAAAAAATATACCTTACATACTGCCATTCAAATCCTGTCTTCGAAATTTGTATTTGCAGTTTTCCTTTTCCTGTTATAAGCCAAGGGCAGGAAGTTTGAATCACCCTGTACATCTTACAACACCACAAGTAGCAAAAAACGAGAATTACTCACAAAGATTCAACAACACGAAATTATGTAAAATAATGACTGACATTATGATAATTGTCGAATAATAAACGACAATGTTGCTGAACACGGTGCAATGTGACATAGCGATAATAAAATTCGGTTTAAACTAATTTTTGCAGCACGTCAAAATAAAATATCTGTTACAATCATTTGCTCTATAAAGTAAAATGAAGAGATGCTGGGTATCTTAAATTATACAACAAATTTAAACATTTTCAAAATTTCATTTAGTCAGGTTTATAGTCTTTAGTGTCAATTTCGATATGATTGATGACGTGCACAGGAAAATGTTTTGCGATTACCATAGCTATAGCCTTGTTTATATATTCTTAAAGTTGTTCAACCGAGTAGACAAAATGTGCTGCCAGCTGGAGGACAAATCGTGAACCTTTCAAGGCGGAGTCAAAAATATCGATTATTTTCGTTATTTTCCTCAGAGTAATGTAATAATATAGCCCCGGGTTTCTGCGAACTTTAATAGTGATCAGCTGATTAAGAAATTTAAACGAAACTTTTATTTTATTGTAAATTGTGGATTATTTTTGCCTGTTATTTAAAGAATTCTAAACCGTATTAACAAAGAAATTATTATTTCGATATGTTGGTACATTTTTTATAATTTATGATAATGCTAATTGCTGTTAATTAATATTTAAAAAAAGTTACATACCTATTTTAATTTGATTTAATGCAGGTTTATAAAAGAGTCATTTCATTCTTAGATTATTTTATTCTAAATTGAGTGCTTTACGAATTTTACGATATATTTTTTTTGAAAACATAAAACTTTTTACATTTTTGATTAAATGTTCAAAAAACTTGCTTCAATAATATTATTGACATTAACATAAATATATTGTACTTAATACACCATCTAAATCTTTATTACACCAATTAAATCTTTATTAATATAAAATATGGCCAGAGTTTTAATCAAGTTTGCTTTAACTTTGTATGTGTGAAGAATTATAGAAACTAAAAATATCATTATTTTAACTCACACACAAAGCCCGTTAAACCTTAAAACTTTCTAAAAGCAGGATACATGTCTAACTGAAATAATTCAAGTACATTTTCATTAAAAAAAAGTATCAGGAAAATAATTTAATTAGATAATGCAAGATTTATTTTTTAGTCTGTTACATATGGTCTTCAGTATTTTCAATACACAGGATGTTTTCTATGACGTTCTCTATGGGTTTCTCGAAAACTACTGGAAATAGAGAGTCGGTTAAACGGGGAAAGAATTGCAGTTTTGTGAAGTCATAAATATGCGCCTTTCAGGTTTTTGAAAAAGTTCATGGATTACTAGATATTTCGAAAAAAAATTGGCTATTTTAAAAATTGTCCCTAATTCCATTATAGTCTATTATTATTAACGGTTTTCAAGACATGTTAGAAAAGTTAAATTTAGATAGTCGCGCATCAACAGGGTCGTGGTCTCGTGGTTCCAACATGACTTTCATTATGACACCTTTATAAGTTATAAATTATAACAAAATAAGAATACCATACCAACTAATTGGCATGGTATTATTGGTATGGAAATTAGCCAAGAAAGAAAAGAATTGGCTATAACTTGTAATTTTTCGAAAAAAAAAACATATTATACCTATATCGCTGAAAAGCTTAAAAATGGCGATTTTTATGAAGTCATGGCCAACTATGGTTTTCATTAAAAAATATATTATGTTTGTGTCATATGTCAAAAATTACAGGCTTTAGAAAAAAACAGAAAACACAAACTCATTAGGTATGTGATTATCTACAACTTTTATCTGAAAACTTTTTGTCTAAAATAGATTATAATGGAATTATAGTCAAGTTTTAAAAAGCTAAAATTTGTTTTTTTTTCGAAATATCTAGTAAGCCATAAACTTCTCCGAAAAATCCGAAAGGTGCATATTTATGACCCCACAAAACTGCAATTCTTTCCCCATTTAACCGACTCTCTATCTCCAGTAGTTTTCGAGATACCCATAGAGAACATCGTAGGAAACTCACCCTGTATAGTATTTAGAAACTAACTATTATTATTATTAGACTAGATTTATTTGATTAATAAGACTCGATCAATTTAATTTAAAATAAATTTGATCAGATTTTTTTTCGTATATTTTTCTACCAGAAAACCAAAATTATATGATAACGCATTTTTCAATGAAGTTGAAGGAAGATATAGTGTATCCAAAGGTGTATCTATCACAATTTACTACAATTAGAAGAAACACAAAAAGAAAAAATACCCAAATACCTTCACCTACTACTCATCTACAAAATAAACGAATATCATCTCTTATAAAAACACTACACAACTACTTCTTGTATTCTGCACTGAACGAATTATCACACTTACTAATTAATCAAACAAAAAGAAAAAATAACCAAGTTATCCCTTCACCTACTACTTAACTAAAAAATAAACTATGAAAACACTACCAAACTATTTCTGGTATTCTACACTGAACATTATAATTAAACTTAATAAAATTAATCTAATTTTACACTACAACCACTACAACTACAAAGAAATAAGAATATTTTTTACAACTAGAAGAAACAGAACTTCGAGACGAGCGACCAGTATAATAATAGATCCAGCCGACAAAGAATACAAAATACTTTAAAATGTGCATTCAGAAAGAAAAAGTATCTCGAAAATTATCTAAACAAAATTTTTTTTTTCATATCAGTGAAAACATCGGCCTTGTCGGCCTTGCGGAATTTGTCGGGTGTTTACAATGGTCGAATTGTATAATTACCAGCTTTTATAGCATATCTAATAGACAAAAAGTATCTGGTCGATTAGTAACCAATTGGCACAGTCCGAAAATTATCGATTTTTATTTTCTCTGTTTTTATTAAGCCCCGTTCTCAGAACTGCGTCGTGTCGACAGCGACACTGATTGACACTTCAAACGACCAATGGGAGCTGTACTAAATTTAAAATTGACAGCTGTTTGAATTTTGTATAAATCTGATTGGTTCTTTTGTCGTGTCGCTGGCGACAGTCGCAGTTCTGAGAACGGGGCTTTAGTCGCTTCAAAATTCAGAGTAACAAAATTTTTTTTTCTCTAGTAAAAGACCGTGAAATACGCCCCGCCATCTGGTGCTTTATATTCATAAACGTCGTAGGTTGAGCTACTTTAAAAATTCATTTACAAGGGCTATAGTCTGTCCCACGACTGTTATGTGAATTAAATTCACACGCAACTGGCACTGTTAGGGAGCCTACAGAGTATAGTTAACTCTGATCATTTAGCATTAATTTTAAAAACTGTGTTATAAAAGGAAAAATAAATTAAATTTAATTAACTTTAATTTAGCTGTTTGAAGCCGACTCGATATTTGATGTCCGTATATACAGTATGTCTCTGGATTGCCTTTAAAAGAAGAAAAACTTCTTTATAATTGGCATTTTGAGAAAAATACATTCTTTATCAAAAAATCTTGCTTCTTTCAAAATGGTTAATCCCATTTATACTTTTCCAAATTCCCATACCATTTTAAAGAAAATTTAAAAAAAACATGGTTGAATTATTTTGTGAAAGAATGAAATTGAAGTTATATTACCATAGAAACTTTTGGTTTTTTTGCACTTAGAAAAAAATCAACTATATTTTTATGTGTTTTTTTTTTAGTTTTCTTTAAAACATTATGAAAATTTGAAAAAGTATAAACGGGATTAACCATTTTAGAAGAAGCAAAAATGTTTATGAAGAATTATTTAATAAAAAATATTTTCCTCTTGTAAAGACAATCCTGGGACATACTGTAGATACTGGGTTTGAAATGTATGCTTTTTTTAGATAAACAGATGAAAACTAAAGGCTCGTATATGATTGAAACTTGTGAAAAGTTTATAGTACATCTTACAAAAGTAGTTATATCAATGTTGGATACTCATCCATTTTCATTCATTGATTTTATCAAGCCTTCTTTAGAATTATGTTTGTATTATCTATTTACGGATGATGGTATAACGTTCCTGTTTGAAAGATTAGTTATACAATTTTTTAACATTATAAAGGCAATTCTCTTATGTGCTGAGTACAGAGCATCGTCAAAGAATTCAATGGCTAATAAAGATTCAGAATCCTATAAGGCCTACCTTATTAAGCAAGAATGCTTTGTACCTGATGTTATATCTGACGTTTGCAAGAAGTTAATAGGACATTACTTTATATTAACACAAGATGAATTAGGGATGTGGGACTCTGACCCTGAAGCTTTTTCTAATGATGAATCTGGTGATAGTTGGAAGTATAGTTTGAGGGTAATTTTGTTTTAAATACTATTTTTATTTAGTATTTAATTTAAAGCTTAGTTTAAAGCTATGTTATATCACTTTGTTATTGTTGATTAAAATTATGTGATATTCTTTTCATTTTTTTTAGCAAAATATACTTATATTGTGATATTAATTATATACTGTTAGTTTACACTTTTTTGTTTTAGCCAAGTATGGATACAGTCTTTGTAACAATATTCCATGAATATAACGAGGTTTTAACACCAGTTCTATTGGAAATGATAAGGTCTACAAATATCATAGTGCCTCCAGAAGATATGCAACAAATACTAAAAAAAGATGCTATTTATAATGCAGCAGGATTATGTGCTTTTGATTTATATGATGAGGTAATAAATTCTTTTATCAACATATACAGGGCGGTGCATCTCATTCGCCTTGGCCATGTGCACAATTTAAAATTATTTCGAATTATACAAGGTGTTTCAGAACTAAGATCCATACCAAAGTTGTATTTTTTTTTATGGAACACACCCGGTATTCTATTTAAAATTTGGGATCTTGGGTCCAAAAAGAGGCATTTATTATACTGGTTAAATATGTTCTTCTTTAAATATCTTTGTTCTTTGAGATATTTAAATATGCATGTTACAATAGAATAGATTATTAACACCCTGTGCACACATTTCTTTTTCAGGATTAATTTTTGTACTGACTTTAAAAGTAGAGAAATAAACTTTCCTGAAAAATGTTATTGCTTCCTTAAATTTATACAAGAGTGCCAAAAATTTCTGATCTATTTTAAGTATTTGGTAACTTTGGTATTTCAAATCCAACACCACTTTTTTAAACAAATCGAAGCAGATTTAAATGCTCTTTCAAACTATATTAGGGTTTCCTATACCTATCTAGCTTAGATTTTGAATAAAAAGCGATTTTTAAATAAAATGACAATCAAGATGGCTGGTGTCGTCATGGCAATTTTCTAGTGACAGTAACTATTTTTCCTCACCTACAAGAGAAAAACGTTTGGGAACCTCTGATTTAAATATTTTCTAGATGGAATTTGTACCATCTGATTTAACGTTTCAATATTTTAGCTAAAAATTTGCTAGTAATCAGTTATATTTAGTTATTATATTTTACACGATCCTTGCCAGGTACCCATATTTTTAAACAAAATTTGAGCATTCTAGGTCATTTGACATTGTGTCCTGTTTTTTGAAAACTAAAATCTGGTATTTTTAATTGGAAACTAATTCATGAATTGAATAGCAGTTGTGTTTTGATACTTTTTATATAAATTTGTCGGTTCTCGGAAGCCAAAGTGATACATCGTTTATCTAGAGGGTCGCTGGTTCAAATATGGCTTTGAGCGTGGTGTGAAATGAACGAGATTGTATTTCTTTGTAATGCAATAGACCTTATAAACTGACATAAAATAACTAAAGAATTTTTTTCTTTGCTTTACAACTTGAACTTTTCTTTAAATATTTTAGGTAGATTTTGATCAGTGGTTTTCCAATACTTTGGTACAAGAATTAAAAATCAAACATAACAATTATCGAGTGATTAGACGCCGAGTAGCTGCCTTAATTGGACGTTGGACTGGAATAAAATTATCTCGTGAATATCGTCCTGCCTTATACGAGTGCATTGTTGGATTATTACAACCTGACGAGGATATTGTAAGTTATATGCGTGTTTTATTTGAAATAATGGAGAAAAATACATTTACTTTTGACTCCACCTATAACATTCCCAGCGGCTGCAATTAACATTTTACAAGCACAATAAAGTTGTGTTCATTCCGAGTTTTAGTAGGCATAGATGGTTCTATTAACTCGCAGTACTTCCGGTAAAAGTATCAAACATTTCTTAACATTTTCCATTTTAAAATTTTTAATAATATACTTAAACGGCAAATTTAGTTTAAAAATGGTCATATTTCAAAAACCACTCAGTATAGAAATGATATTATGTTATATTTGGAATGAGAGTTTATTGGCAAATCAACTAAGTTAAAAAATATATAGCAGTCTGTAACAAACCAAAAACCTGATACAGAGCCCCCTTTTTCGGATCACTGGGTCACCTTCTAGAAATTTTCTATACCATGTGAATGAAAAAAAAACGGTGTCAGATAAGGCTTGGAAATGTGGCTCATTTTTATACTGTTTGATCAATAGACCATACAGTACATTAACATTTTGCTTCAGAAGACCACACTAGAGGAACTGTTTGAAATGACCTTTGTAATATTTTTCTCAATTTAACGTCGTATTTTTTTATTTGATTAAAATGTATTTTAATAATTCCTTTTCTAGGTAGTTAGATTAACAGCTGCGACGGCTTTGAGGTTTGCTGTTGACGATTTTGAGTTTAACTCTGAACAATTTAAGCACTATATGTTTGCGGCATTTGATTTATTATTCGAACTGTTAAAAAAAGCCAGCGAATGTGATACTAAAGTAAGTAGATTTTCAAATACATATTATATTTAGCTTATTTGACTTATTTCCAAAATAAAGATTAAATTTGTAAAATTTAAATCCATCTTTTGTTTCCTTAATAAAAAGTTTATTCTGTTCGCTATTCTTTATATAAATTTTTAATACTTGAAGTAACTCGTTTTTAATTTAAGATGTAGTTTAAAAACGTATTTTTTCTTGATTTTATCTAAATACATTTGATGTTAAATGGCAACCAATATTAGCCCCACGGCCACACAGAAAGCGTTTTTTTACGTTTTTAGCGTGAAGCGTCTTTAGCGACTAAAACAAATTAACATGATTATATAGGAGTGGCCCCATCAAAAGTGTATAGCGTTCGGCGTGTCTCGCAAAAAACACAAATGAAAATAAATCGGTTTGTTTTCTGTAGCGTCTTTAGCGCGATTTCTAAGATGAGATATCCCCGTCATAGGCAGACGTTATATTTAATAATACAATAAAAATAAATTAAATAGTATGATTTGTTTTGCATCTACTGTTCATGAAGATTCCATTAAATTCAAATATTTGAAGGGAATGTTTGAAAAAGTGTACTTTGAAATGTTGAAAAAGTAATAAATTAAAGGAATATTTTCTTACGCGTAAAAAATAGTTTTTATGCCTAAAAAGTGTTTTTTTTTCTCCGTAAAAAAAGTTTTTTTAACAGAAACAAATACTTTTTTACATGTAAAAAATATTTTTTTTTGGATAAAGTTTTTTTACCAGAAACAATAAGTTATTGACGCGTCAAAAATTAGTTTTTCCGTGTAAGAAATAGTTTTTTGAGGTTACACGTAAAAAACTATTTTTACTTGTAACAGTTTTATTTGCGTAAAATAATAAAATTAGTTTCTTACTTGTAACAAATGGTTTTTACACGTAATAATTTTATTCACTTTTACAAAATTTGTATTAAAACATCAATATTTTTTATAAACACGTGTACTGCTCACAAATACACATCGCGTCACCACGTATTTCTAAGCCGTTAACACGTTTCGTTACAACTAGCTCGTGTGTCAGGGCCATCTCGCTAGCTCGTATGAGATGGCTTTGAATTTTTACTCCCAGCGCGCGTTTACAAAGTTTCACTCCAAAAAGTTTCATAAATCATGACCTAAAATTGCGTTAGCAACTAGTAATATTTACTATTCTATTATACAATTATAATTATTTATTATATTATATTATAATTATAACAAGTAACCACAACATTACAACATATAAAATTCGTAAAATAAATGACAAATAATAATTAATATTTTTACACACACCACTGGCACTAGCAGTAGATTGTGTTTGTCTCCGAATATATGCCCTAGCCCGTCCACAATTCAATCCCAACATCTTTTATCTTCGTCTCTTCAACGCTAACGGCGCCGATCTCGACTATCCCTTTCACACAGGATTGATTGTTGGACGGGCCGGGAATCCACGAGCTTGCGATTAGGTAATTTATTTTATTTTGTCAGAAAAAATAAATATGAATTTATTTTTTAACATTGATTAAATATTTATGATAATTTTTTATGTCTATAGTCATAATGACATATTACCTTTTTGAAATGTTCTTTTTGCGTAGATAACTGCAGGTTTTCTTTTTTTTGATACATTATAATAATCTTGTTTATATTCAGCGTGAGTTTTTATAATCACCTTGTTTATATTCAGCGTGAATTAGTTCTGGGAGTTCACTGATAGATGGCTACGAGAATTTCATCGCGGGTCTTTCAAAAATTTGAATTTCTAATTAAGTGGGACAATCGCAAGAACGATAAACTTATTATGTTAATAATTCTTAACCGTTCTTGCGATTTTCCCACTTAATTAGAAATTCAAATTTTCTGTCAGTGAACTAACTCACGCTGAATAACTAGTTAATATACAATAAACAAGGGTAATAATTACTAACTTTGACATTTAAGCTATATTACTTTTCCTTGTCAGAGATTTTTCTAAATAATGGTTAATTTGAAAGTTAACTTTTATCTGTTAATTTTCAATATAGAATGTGTAATATTCAAATATATTAAACTTTCTAGAGAATTTATTTAGTAATTGAATTTAATTTGCATAATTAAGATTATATGTAGAATATATTTTTATATTTTATGGATTTTTTTAGATGCAAGTTTTGAATGTGATGGCAGTTGTACTAGAAAGGATGGGGGGAGTACTAATGCCTCATTCTGATGCCTTAGTTCAATATTTGCCACATTTGTGGAATGAATCAGAAGGCCATTATATGTTAAGAGGTGCCATTGTAGCTACTTTAGTTCAGCTTGTTAGAAGCATGGGTGGTGTTCCAGAGGTATGCAAAATATTGTTTTAAGTACAGAGCCGCGCCGCGTCGCGCTGCGGTCTAGTGGGCGACAACCTTAAAACATATTTTAATTATTACAGAATTAAAACTAGATATAAACCTATAATGATGTGATAAAAATTAGCTAGATGAAATCAAATGCTCAAAATGCTTCCTTTCCTATTAACTGCATAAAATTTTAGTCTTTTCAAAAGGATATTTTCATTTTAAAAGGCATTATGTGGAGTTCTACCAAAGTTCTACCTCGAAAAGCAGCTACAATAATTTCTCTCATGTTGACAATAGTTGGTCGAGTTTTGTAAACACTGTCTTTAACATATCCCCATAAAAAAACAGACTAGATAAAATCAAGAGCATTTAAATATTCTATATTCACCGACTAATAGAATCATGTCAATTCTCTCTGATGTAGGATAAGTTTGCATTTTCGGTAAATTTCTGAGAATTTTTTTTGTTTCAACTGACACAAAATGATAACTAGTTGTTAAAGTTGGACTAATTAGACAGTTATGATGAAGTAACGCCAGACATATTACAGCCACCTAGATTTTATCAAATAATAAGGATCTGCTCAGATCAAATCATGTAAAGGAAAATATCTAGGAAAATATTTGTTTGAGTGGTAGGCAACCCTTAATAGTATTTTGAAGAGACATTAGTTCTCCATTGAATATCGGAATAATATACTGGGTGTTCCATTTAAAATAAAAGAGTAACTTGCTTTTAAAAGTTATCAATGTTTAATATTAATTTTGTCTCACCCTATATAACTTTTTGGATCAATTTCTAATTTGTTTTAAAGTACAATAGTTAGTTTAACTACATATTAGGCTATACCGGGTAAATTCCAATTTAGGTAGCTTTTATTGTAATTTAAAATTTGTTCTTTATTTCTAGAAAATGTTAAATATGTCAAAAACCTTACATTTTAGTCATATACTTCTCTTATAAAACACACCTTTATTTTTCTCCCAGAATCCGAAAATCAATTAATATATAGGGTTACAAAAAACACAACTTTGATAAGCAACTTTTTTTGGGGACACCCTGTAGAACCCTCTATATTTTTAAAAGTGCTCTGAATCTCTACATATGCCCACAAAATTTCATTTCAAAACAAACTATCGTTCTTGTTAGATTTGTACAAGAAATGCAGGGTGAAATAATACCACGAGAGATGGTATAGTTAAATTATATTTTCGGCAAAGTATGTAACAACGACATGAACAAACGAAAAGTATCTTAATGCTTAAAAAGATTAACAACTACAACTGCTATTGAAAAAACAGCGCGGCACAGCGGCACTCGATCTTAGTTTAAATAAAAATATAGAAAGTCAATTTAGCACTTTCTTATCGAACACGTATTGCCGCTGTGTGTGTTACTGTTAAATTTAGTCACCAAGGATATTGATTATACAACAGTTCTCCTTGGAGCCTCCGCGGCGTATGAGAGGCGCCGCCCTGTATATTTACCTTAATATCAATATTAACTGAATATTTCTAATGTAGGAATTATGTCCCTTTCTGCTTCCAATTATTCAACTGGGAACAGACACAAGTCAAGGAGCTATTATCTATCTTCTTGAAGATGCGTTAGACTTATGGACAGCTGTTTTGGAATACTCTGCATCAATGACTAATGACTTAATGCAGCTCTTTAATAATATGCCAATATTATTAGGTATGGGCTTTATTTTATTTATATTTACATTAGATATGGATATATACAGTCTGGTGTAAAAATTATATTGTCTTTGAACACAAACATATTTTGCCTAGCATAATAGTATAATTTGATATAGTAACGAGTTGTTCAATAATAGAGAAGGTTGGCTGTATCGTTGGAACTGTTAAGGATTGAACTTTAGGAAAAAGACATTTGTAGGCCAAGCGAGGCCAAGATAAATTGTAAATTATTTTTAAGTTTTAAAGTTGGCCACTAGGAGAAAATATGAAAATAACTGATAATTTAAATAATTTTCAAAAAATGAAAATATCGTTTTTTTCTCTAATTTTAGGATTTATTGAATTGAGAGATTAAAATAAGTTTACATTTTGCCATTGTTCCAAAAAGTCAAGGTTCAGTTTCCAATCCGAGCGACGCGACGTTTCATATTTGAAACACCATCGTCAACTTTTTTAATTTAAATAATGATCTGGATTTTTTATTTTGCCTTTCAATACCCTTTGTAACTACAAAATAAGTTGTCATATAAAAGTTATAGCGCATCATTTGTTTTTTTTTGAGAAAATCAGCATTATTTCGAAAATTTCTGAACAACGCCTACTGGCGACCAGTTACAAAATCACTATGTTTATGCATATGGAGCAAAAACATTCAAGAGGTTGAAAATAAAAATATTTGGCCTTTCCTAGCAAAAATGGGCCAAAGAAAAAAATGCGTAATTGGTTGAAGAGTGCTTGCTCTCAGCCGACTTCCGCTATTCCTATTATTGAACCACCCTGTACATATTCAGATAAGGAAAAGGGAGAGTATTATTATAGGTGCCAGTAAAATAAACTAAGCTTAAAAACGGTTCTTTTTTTAATTAATCCAAATTTCCGTTATTTGCCACATATTTTAATATCTAATAAAATATTGTCAAGGTGTATGGCGATATCTGCCGGAAGAGTCTAAAACCACTAAGCATGTTTACCTTGACAAGAAACATGGCGATTTGAGTAGCGCGCCATATCTTAGACTTTTGGCTATCATTACTTTTTGTCACCAGACCTCCAGATTGTTGCATTTTGCTCCTACATCTTAAAAAATTACGAAATTATATATAACGATTAAGATTTTGTACTATCTTTTGATTGATACATGTATAAAATACCTTATTCAGCTTATATTTTTTAATCTGTGGTTTATTAAAATATTCTATTCCAGATTATTCAACAGAAATTCTACGCACTTGCTTATATATTAGTTTAGCTCATCTTTTATTAGCCCCAGAATTAGTTATGAGAAATCAGGGCACGCAGTTAATAACAACGTGCGCAACCTTGATGGGAGATTTAAATAACGAGGGTATTGTGATGTTAATGAGACTGGTAGAGACTTTTACGAGGACCATACCTCAATTAGGTAGCGAAACGGTAATGCCAATATTACCAAAAATATTTAGGTTGGTATAGTTTTCGTTTTATATATATATTTTTATTAATTTTACTTAAAATTTGGGTATTTTTATTGCATTTGGGTAAGTTATTTTATTAATCTCACAGGAGATTACCAGATATTAATCAAATACCAAAAAGATGACAATGGCATTTTGTGACAGAAGTATAAAATAATAATTTGTGAATTTTATAAAGAAACTGTTTACTAATCATTTTTGTAATTTTTATGTAACTTGTGAATTGTCTTAAATTATTCTGTATGATCGAAAAACGGCGTCAGCGATGGCTATGAAATGAAGATCGCTGTCATTTTATATGTAAATTTATATGGAAAATGTCTTCGATCGTCATTTCTCAGCCAACTGGACGCCATTTTTTTTCGATCATACGGTATTACAAACATATTTAAAATTAAAATATGTCAGTTGTCGTCTAACATATCATCGTGACAACAAAAAGTTAGTTATTATCGTTGTACGCGATCTGGCGCTGCTATAGCGGTTGCTAAGAACAGCCGCAAACGAAAACAGAAATAATTTTCTCTTGTCCGTAACTCTTGTCAAAGTCTTCAAAAATTATAAAATCTTTCAAAATCTAAACCGCTTTTATTGAAGAAATTCCGAAATGTGTTTAAAGCGTCCATTTTCAAAGTAATTATTGTTATCTTGTGAGTTTAGTTGTAAGTTTTATTTACTCAAATCCGGGATAATTGTGAAAAAGTGGGATTAAAAACTTAAAAAAGCTGTGCTGTGAACTGTGAACTGCAAAAACCATCGTGGATAGTGGCATAACGTGGGTTTCCAATGTTTCATAGGTATGTATTTCATACATGTCCTTATATAAAATAAAGTTTCTTGTATGCAACACACTGTATTTTATTTATAAAATTAAAAGTAAATAATTATAAATTTGAATAAATAATATTTGGCGATATAATTCCGGAAAAAGTCGAACCGTTCCGAAATTTTCAAAAGCTTTGGGTCACGACCGTTGCAAGAATAGCGCCAAATAGTGTTTACATGGTCCAGATTGTCCTTATGGGCACTTTCCAATCTATACTTGTTTCATTTATCTATGGTTATTGTCAGAAATAGTTAAACTCACGTTAAAATATTAAAATTCACAAGTTTTAATTAGATATTTTATATTACTTCAAAAACAAAAACATAATGGTACAGCGTAATGTTGATATGTAGGTCAAAAACAAAAAGTGCTGTTATATTTTTTAGTTTTCGTTGTTAGCCGTGGAAGTTTCAGTGATTTTAGTGTTGTCGGATATTTTTATTTGTGAAATAGAAATATTGCGTTTGGATTGTAAAACTAAAAGTGGAAGTTTTATTGAAATGTAAGTAAGCTTTTGTCCATTTTATATTTTACTTTTTTCATACCTACGACAAATATACATATTATATTGAAATTTTATAATTCGTTTTATTTATGAAATGTTAGAAAACAAGCCTGTAATCCTGTAATTGATATAATTGTCATGTAATATATTTCATTTAAATGTAATATATTACTTTACAATTAAAAAAATTATTAAAAATATATACAGGCATTAATTGAAGTTTTTAGTATGCGTACAAGCACGAGAGGCGCTTTATTATTTACTTCCTTTGAATAAGAAGACTAAGGATAAATAAATAAATAAATAAATGCCTTTATTGTCAAAAAATTTTTCAATTTGTGGACAAAGGTAAACTAACAAACAAAGTAAAAAAAAACAAGGTACACAAACAAACAAACAAAAGATAATACAAAACATTATACAAATAATATTGTCAGTCTTATTGTTAAAATAAACATATATAAATGTTTACAATGTCAAAAGACAAAAAAAATTAAAATAATATTCAAAAATATTTAGCCAGTTTATAGCAAAATATCAATGACCTCTAAATAAATTAATTTCGATGTCATTAGTAAATATAGCAATAGCAAACATTAGACCAGTGGTTTCAAGATCAAATTCGATTTTCAATTCAAATATAATTCATTTACGGCGTAGAAAGCCTTGTATAGTAAATAAGAGTTCAATGCTTTGCGAAATGAAAAAAATGATGTTATGGATTTGATTTCAAATGGCAGGTGATTGTGCATTTTTTTCGAGTTGTATAATATTGAACTTTTAACTAACTCTCAGCGTGGGGTAGGTAGATAAAGATCTTGCTCCGCGTTCCTGAGTGGATAAGTGTGAGCTGGCCTTTCTTGAGAAGCTGATACATGTTTACTTATTAGGCAAACGGATTCAAATATAAATAAGGAAGGAAGAGTCAATATTTTTAATTCTCTAAAAAAGCTCCGGCAATGAATTCTGCTGTTTAGTCCCAGTGAATATCGAACAGCTCTCTTCTGGAGCTTGAAAATGCGGTCAAATTGAGCCGCACAACACGTACCCCAGAATGGAAGGGCATACCTGAGATGCGACTCAAAAAGTGCATAATAAACAGTTCTAGCCACTGACAAGTTAAGCTCCTTAGAAACAGACCTTAATGCAAAACAGGCAGAGCTCAATTTTTTCGACAAAGCTTCGATATGTATGTCCCATTTAGAGAATTGTCCACAACAAGCCCCAAGAACTTTACAGATTTGACGACGTCAATGGTGGTGTTGTTAAGTACAAAAGGCTGCAACGAGTTTTTATACGACAAAGCTTTAGTTTTAGAAATGTTGAGAGTCAGGAGGTTCGAATCGCACCAAGATTTAATGGTGATTAAGTCATTTGATATAATCCTATGAAGTGCCGTGATGTCCTTGTTGCTCCAAGTGAAGCTAGTGTCGTCCGCAAAAAGACATATTTTGCCACTGATGTTTATGTTAGCAATGTCGTTAATAAAAAGAAGAAACAAAACAGGGCCTAGTACTGAGCCTTGTGGTACTCCACATTCTATTGGCTTTCTAGAAGACAACGTGGTATCCACCCTCACAAGTTGACTTCTGTTGCTCAGATACGACTTAAACTATCCGAGAGATGATCCCCTGAACCCATAGTGCTGCAGTTTATTAATTAAGATCTTATGATTAACAATCGAACGCCTTAGAAAAATCACAGAAAATTGTTGCTGTAGAATGATGGTTGTTTAGGCTGGAGTAAACTTTATTAAGGAGGGAAAACATAGCGTCATTTGTGGACTTGTTGCTTAGAAATCCAAATTGATATTCAGTAAGTATTTCGTACTTAAACAGAAAAGATACCAGCCTTCTTTTAACCAACCTTTCTATGATCTTAGATAGCGTTGGAAGGAGTGCAATTGGGCGATAGTTAGAAGCTTCATCTTTGTCTCCTCCTTTGTGCAGAGGAATGATTATTGCCGTCTTAAGACATTTTGGAAAAACACCATTTTGGAACGACATGTTTATTAAAGTTGTTAGGTGATTCAGAGTGCTTTCTGGCAGATTCGAAAACATTTTTAAAGTTAGCCCGTCGGTCCCAGAAGAGGATTTATTTTTGATGGTATTAATTGTACTCCGAAGCTCTTCAAGAACTACGGGCGAAAAAAAGAAACTGTGTAAGTTTACATTATCATTAGAGAGATAAGAAAGTGGATCATGAGGAGGACATATGGTATTAGTTAAGTTTTTCGCTACATTTACAAAGTAATCGTTAAGGTTCTCAGGTGAGGTAGAGATATTGCTAGACGAAGAAGCTTTGTTTCTCAATTCATTCACAATAGACCATGTTTTCTTAGCAACATTACCAGAATTGACTATTCTCCTATTATAATAAAGGTCCTTAGCGGCTCTTATAGTCTTATGATAAATTTTTCTGTATAGTTTTACGTAATTGTGGAAGAGACTGTCTGAGAATATTTTTAAGTGATATAATGAACGTATGTTTTTAGAAGATATGCGTAGACCTTTAGTGATCCAAGGTTTATTATGCTTATTTTTTATAGGCCTAAGAGGAAAGGATTTGAACGCTAGACTGGTTAATGTTTTTACGAAAATAGAAAATTCGGTGTCGACATCATAAGAGCTAGTATCCCAGTTGGTTGTTTTACATGTGTCTGAAGCATTCTTTTCTGAAAAAATACGGCATAATTTACGAGGGGCATTTTTGATTTTGGACTTTATCGAAAATTCAGTTAAAACTGCTTCATGATCAGAGAGACCCGAGCTAAAGACGTTGCAGGCGATGGAGTTAGGATCAAAAGAGGACACAACATAGTCTATAGTACTAGAACTGGTATTGGATATTTTGGTAGGCGAGCCTACATGCATGGCTATTCCAAAAGAATCAAAAATGGACTGAAGAAACTCCTGAGCAGCACATACACTAAGAAAGTTAATATTAGGATCACCACACAAAATTAATTTGCTTTTTAAGGACAGGGACTCAAGCAAGCTTAGTAGATTATGACAGAATAATTACACGTCAGAGTCAGGTGTTCTATAAATACAAATAATGTAAAGGTCATAAGCATTATGGTGGACAATAGAAAATTCGAATACTTTTTCAGATAGCAAATCATTGTACCTACTATATAACTATAGTTACCTCGTTAAAAGTCGTTGTTTAAAGACATTATCATAGTACCTCCATGAGAAAAATTTGTTCTATTAAATCTAGCCAATGTGGTATAATTTTTAACAAACGCAGGCTCATCAAAATTTAACCAGTGCTCAGTTATGGCAATGATATCTAATTCAAGTTCTTCTAGTAAAAGATATAATTCATCTGTTTTATGTCTTAAGGACTGAATATTAATAAGGAGTAGACCAAGCTTGCTATCGCTTAACTTTTCAGAGGGTGTTTGATCCTCTGTTCGCGTCAATTCAACTAAAAATTTTTACTCTTATTTGGGGAGCCACTGGAATAATATTTGCCATGAGTTTCCCTAATCTTTTGAAGTCGTAGAAGGCTCTCGCAGAAAAGAATGACCTGAAAGCTGAAAGATCTGCATCAACTTCAGTTGAACCAATACCATAGGCGTTGTGGAAGCGGTAGTACAACTTACGCAAGGACTCCAGGTCACTAGGTAGCCCTTCTGATGCAAGCATCAATTTGATGCTGGTACTAGTGTGTCCTTCAAAACACACACTGGATGGTTGGTCGTGAAGATAGGCAAGGAATAGCCTAAGAGATTTCAAAATGGAGGGGTCCCTCAACCTGGCCAACACGTAACGTCCATTTACCGCATCTGAGTCCTGAGACAGCCGTACTATAGGTGGGGTCATCGGGTCCATAACTGCCAAACCATCTCTCTTCGCACTTCCCTGCACAATAATTTCTGGATTTTCCATCGCCAGGGACTTGCAAGCAGCTATAGCCTCCCTGTCAGACCCAATCTTAATAGTTCTTACCTCCCTTGGCATAGTTGCCAGTGGTGGGTCAAGTAGGTGAGGTAGCTTGCGGTTCTCAATGATGTTTATTTTGAGATTTTGAGCAGGTTCAGCCGAAGAAGTTAACGAAGCTTGGTTTAAGGATGTTGAGGTTGAATCTATTATGGTTCCCGGCGGCCACATATTTATGTCCTTAAGCTGCACTAAGTGACGCCTCTTTTGCACTCCAATTTTGAAATCGGAATGGGAATTGAAAAGCATCTGATGAAATCGGTGGTTCCTAGTTTTTCTTTAACATAGTGCGCAAGTTGATTCGCTGTGTAAGGAGGTGGAATTCTGGACACCACCACATAATTCCAGTCTTCTCTTATGGCGGCCTTAGGAGGTTGCGATGAGACTATTTCGGGTGTAACTATTTTTTTTTGGCAAATCTATAAAAGCTGTACTATTTTGGTGATCTATAGGGCCCGTCTGCGTTGAAATGGATTTTTTCCGCTGCATATTATGATTTGTACAGCATATTATGTGTTATCCCTTGTAACAAGCTTTTCCAATGTGAGCGACATTTGTTTAACGCTCTTCCTAAGGTCAGCCATTTCCTTCGCCATTTCTTCCTTAGATGGGTCATGAACTTGGACTTTAACAGACCCATCATGGTTGTCCATTAAAATTGATGATAAATTGAAAGTGTCTTGCTTTATCTCATTTATAGACTTAAATAAGGATTCTTGTGTGGTATCTGATATCCTGGATATGTCATCAATTTTCTTGAGTAAAATTTTCCACTTGGAATCGTGGTCACTCAGCATGTCATACATTTCAGTTATGACTGGAAAAATGTCAATATTTTTTTTTAAACAGAATCCTAGTGCTTCGATGATTTCTGGTTGGACCTGGCATTCTTGAAGCTGTGTAATTCTATCATGAACATATTTTAATGTAGGAGAATCGCAGACAGTGCAGAAAAATCTAACGTTGTGGTACTTTTGTTGACATAGCACCTTTGTTGTTGCCTTATCCAGTCCTGTACAGGTATACAAAAACTTCTTCGACACTCCCACTACAGCGAACCTGCTTTGTCCTTTTGGATTTTTTGACAAAGTCGCACTTAAATTCAGCCATAATAATGTAAATGATTAATAATATTAAAAGTCGATGACAGCTGAATAAAAATCGGAGAGTATAAACAAGCTAAAACTCACGCACAGCGGAAACAAGTACGCCAATTATCAATTAATTTGCAAAAAACTAACACAAGTAAACAAAGTCAAGTTTAAACGAACAGTGAACTTTGAGTTGATTTCGGGTCAGGAACAAAAACAAGTCAAATCAAAACAAAACAAAACGTTCAATAACCGGCAGACAAAACGCACGATCGGTAACACAACCTTCTCGTACGACTGCTAAACTGTTACTGAACCCTACATCATAATTTAAGGAGCATATCAAAAAGGATATCAGGAAGGAGCATATCAAAAATCCTAGGTCCACCGCGATTGGCCTCAAATATGGCCGACTTAAATTCCGGTAAAAAATGTCTATACCTATGTGGCGGATTCATCTTTCCAAAAAAATCATGTATGGTTTTTTTTTAAATTCAGGTTTATAAGTGCCGTTCTAATTTTATTTAAAAAATGTAAAACTATGATGTAGGGTAGACGTGGGGTAGACTCAATAATATGTTGTTTTATTTTATGTTGTGAATAAATGTTGGTAGTTATTAAAATTGTTACAAAAATATATAATTGTAATAAAAATAGATAAGTTATAATAATTATTTATTAACACAAACATCCGATACGCTACTGAAGCAGGTAAATCAAATTGACGTATCTAAATTATTTGACATCTAATCTTTGACAAGCAGTAAATAAAAGCAAAAATGCAAGAAAAAATATACCGGGTGTTGCATCGTCGAGTGGGACATAGGAAATCTCATGTAAATTTTAATGGGGTCAATTATTGGCTTCCCTAATTATTTTAGAGAATAATTCTATTTAGGTTTATTGAAGAGCACTAAAACCCACATTCATAAGAATAACTTTAGATATTTTTGATTAGCCCGTTTACGAGTTATCGCTCATTTATTTTTAAATATTTTTCCTTTCTTTTGGCCCTGTATTTACTTATGAGCACCAGTCAAGGTAAAAGATAACTGTCAAATGAAGTTGTAATTTCAGAAATTTATCTATTTAGTGCCTTCGAATAAGAAGACTAAGGAAGGAGCATATCAAAAATCTTAGGTCCACCGCGATGGGCCTCAAATATGGCCGACTTAAATTCCGGTTTATCAGTGCCGTTCTAATTTTATTTAAAAAATGTAAAATTATGATGTAGGGTGGCGTGGGGTACACTCAATAATCTTTTTTTTATTTTACGTTGTGAATAAATGTTGGGAGTTATTAAAATTGTTATAAAAATATAAAATTCTAATAAAAATAGATAAGTTATAATAATTATTTATTAACACAAACATCCGATACGCTACTGGAGCGGGGTATCTAAATTCTTTGACATCTAATCTTCCACAAGTAGTAAATAAAAGCAAAAATACAAGAAAAAATATATAATTAGTTAATGTGAATTTCATAAATGATCGGTTTACTACACATATCTATATTATATAGTCACTTACTAGCGAAAAGTTGTTCCATTATTTCACTCGATTTTTGCCGAGATCTACCGCACGCTACACAACCAACTATTTTAGAGTATTTTTCGATAAATCGCGATAGTGTCACTGTTAATTTAAGTTCTGCCACAATTTCCATCTAGATTTACTACCTTTATACAACTATCAGTAGTAGAATAAATAATAAATAACATAAAATAAGTTCCGTAAAGACTGACAAATCCACAAAATTTCAAATCAAATTCAAATGTGTCAAATGAATCGTCAGAACAGAACTGCCAAGGATCCCCACCCTAGAGTCCTTTTGCCGCCCACCATGCATGAATACATGAATATCATTAGCTCCTTCCTTAGTCTTTTTATTCGAAGTTTACTTTCATTTCTTAACATGACAAATGAAGTTCTAAAGGGGGATGTTTTGTGTTTGAAGTTTTCGAGATACTATTGTTGAGCGTCGAAATTGTCACCACCCTGTATACCGAGTGTTCAAAATAACAAATTTGCTATTACTTTCCGTTTGAAGGTTGATTCTCACTATACATTCCGTTTCCGCCCCATATCCATTCCGTATTATCCACATTATTAAACATAACCGTGAAAACGGTACGGAATCGGATCGGATAGTGTGCATTGTCCTATTTATTTACATGATATAACATTTTATGAAAACTGAAAATAGCGGATACGGAACGTATAGTGAGCATCAATCTTGACCCGGATAAATTCCTAAAAATATTTCGGATAGATAGAGCAGATGGATTTATACGTTGTGGTTTTGTAGGAGAATATATGATAAGGAAAACTATCCCTATTTAATGTCGATGTTTTTGTGTGTGATGTCGAGGGTACTGTTATCGTCACATCAAGTTTTTACGAGAGCGATATCTGCCGTGGCACAAGAATTAAATGAAAATGACCAGGCTGTTTTAAAACAACTTTTGGACCGTCTCCTAAACAATATGCCCAATGTTTCACAATTGGATCAAAGGAAATTGTTAGGTGAGTATTTTATGTCAAAAAAATCCTATGTATATGGGTATTTCGCCACGGTAAGAAAATCTACAAAATAAAATAGTTATTTTTTTGTAAACACTGCTGCGTTAATCCAACGGAAATTACTTATTGGTTTACAGTTAGGTTTACAGGTTGCACATACAACATATACAGGTTGTTCTATTATTCGAAGCACATAGGCAGGTATAACATTACAATATTTTAACAACAAACCTTTAAATATATTTAAGAATTTAGCAAAATAAACTAACACAAGTCTGAATAAATTTGTCTCCCAATAAATCGTAATACTTCTCAGGCATTTTAATTTTACTTTTATAAATAGTGTATTAGCCGTTTATATATAAATGCAAATAAATTTTAAATTATAATAAATGTTAATATTCTAGTACTACCAATTAATATTTCATTAAACTAATATTAATTAAAATCGTTGCAGCAGTTAATAAATTTATACGCTGCTAACTTGTTTATTTTATTAATTTATTATGAGACATGTATTTGAGACATGTATCCTTCATTTTTGTGATAAAATACAGTGTTACTTTGCATTTACATTGATAATTTCATATTTATAGTTTCATAGCACCTAGCAAATTCAATTGCTGTGTGTGCTAGACACTCTAACAAATAACTAATAACTATATGAAAGAAATGAATCATAGGTGCAACAGAAAGAAAAAAACAATAAATACGCAAACTGAAACTACAACAATCGAAACAAAAAAACTCAAAAACCCAGTGTGCATAAATTTCCTGCACTAAAACAAACATAAAACAAGCACAAGTGTCCCAAATAATGAGCGGCAATTGGCGGGGATGAGAGAGGTCAGCGGATGTACATTTTATGTATATATTATATGTTACATGAATTCTAAAACTTATTTTTATTTCCATGCAAGTATTTTGTGTACCGCACTTTTATTATCAGTTATGTATTTTTTGAAAGAATATTAAATTTTTTCTGCTGGTTGATTATACGTACGTTATATGGAATTACATTAAACAATTTAGGTGCAAAATAAAGTACTGTTCTCTGTACGTGAGATCTGTGAAAACATGGAACGCTGAGAGTTTTACTACTTACCGCTCTTGTGAGGTAGTTATGATTTTGTACACTCCGTAATTCGGGTTTATTTTAAAGGTACATCACAATAGAATGAGCATATAGACATCTCAAATCTAATACCTCAGCCTCTAAAAATAGATTTTCGGTTGGATATCCATTGTTCCTTTTTAAGATTATTTTTAGTATTTTTTTCTGGCAAACTTCAAGACTTTTTATAATGTTATTAAAGCTTGATCCCCAAACAATAACACAATATCTGAGAATAGATTCCACAAGGCTATAATACAGAGTAATCAAAAGATTCTTTTCCAAAAATTCCCTCAATTGATAAAACTTATGAAACATACTTCTTTTTTCTTGAGTAAATCAATATGTTCCTTCCATCTCAAGTGCTGATCTACATTTATTCCGAAACATTTAGCATAAGAAATTCTATTTATTTTTGGACAATTTTGGCATATATTATTAACTAGACAATTTTTTGAGAATGAACCAACAAATATTTTTTTTGGGGTTGATCAACACTTGTAAGAGTGAAGGTTATGAAACTTGTTTTTTAATATTTAATGTTAATAGTCCGTCATCAAGATATTCCCGTATTTTACATAGACCTTGTTCTGCTGCTTCATAAGTCTCATCCCATGAATTTCCTGTAAAAACTATAGCGGTATCGTCTGCATATGCAATTATACTGCCACTTGTGGCCGCATCTTTTATTCCGTTGATATATATTAAAAACAATATCGGTCCTAAAGTTGTGCCTTGTGGTACTCCCGTTGTTATAGATTGAGGGTCGCTAAGTATATTTCCAATTTTTACTTTTTGTTTTCTATTACAAAGGTAGTTCCTAAAAAGTGCTAGTGGCGCGCCTCGTACACCAATATTTTCCAGTTTATTTAGCAACTTTGCATGAGAAACGGTGTCAAATGCTTTGGGAATATCTAAAAATACTGCCAAACTTTTTTTATTTGAATTGAAATTTTGCAATATTGAACTTGTCAAACAAAATATAGTATCTTGAGTACTTTTTCCGCTTCGAAAGCCATACTGTTTATCAAAAATAATATTATTAGCTTCTAAATATTTCACTAGTTTTTGTTTTATACATTTCTCAAATAGTTTTGCATTGTTACTAATCAAGGATATCGGTCTATAATTGGACATGTCTAGTGGATCTCCGCCTTTAAAAATTGGAGTGACGATAGCATATTTCCAATCCAATGGAATATTAGAAGTTGATATAGCTAAATTTATTATGTGTGCTAAAGGTTTTATGATATATAAGTGAGCCATTTTTATAAATTCCACAGATATATCATCATGTCCTGCTGATGAGCCGGTTTTTAAAGTAGAAATACATTCTACTAGTTCGGCCTCCGAAACCAGCCCTAAATAGAATGATTTTTCTATATTTGATGTATTCGGCGCACCAACTGCCAACTGTTTCTTAAAATTGGCGTTCATTTCTTTTCCAACGCTAGCAAAAAAAACATTAAATATATTGCTCAATTCATGTTTATTTTCAATATATTCTTCGTCGTAATTTCTAATTTTTGCGATAGGTGCCTTATTTTTTGTGATATTATTTGTAGCCTCATTAATTGTAGACCAGATTAATTTAATATTTTTGTCAGCTTTTTTAATTTTATTTTTATAATATTGATTTTTAGTTTCTCTAATTATTCTTGTTACCAAATTTCGATATTTCTTGTATGCATCTTGTTTTTCGGCCGAAGAGTCCCTACGTAGATCTTTTTTCATTTTGTCTCTATTAAGATCGTTGATTAGATAAACAAATTTGCCTAACGAACAAAAAAGTGCTTAACGTTTCGGAAAGTTTATCTCTTTCCGTCGTCGAAAGCAAAAAAAAATACAAAGAATAAGGAAAAAAACTATTTAAAATATTTATATGCAACTATTCGACAACACTTTAGTTCCGACGATGGAAAGAGATACGCTTTCCGAAACGTTAAACATTTTTTTGTTCCTTAGGCAAATTTGTTTATCTGTAAACCTAACTGCTGACAAGTAGTTTCCGTTGGATTAACGCACCAGTGTTTACAAAAAAAATAACTAATTTATTTTGTAGACTTTCTTGCAGTGGCGAAATACCCATATAGGATTTTTTGGAGAGATGAATCCGCCACATAGGTATAGAATTTTTTATTCCATTAATGTTTAAAAATTTGTTCTTAATTTTAAGTTTTTTTTAATAAAACTATAATATATAAATTGACAGTTTACAACTTATTTTACATGTTCTTTGCTTATCTATGTTGCATTAATACAACAGTATATTGTTTTAGAAGAAAAAAAATGACACTTTTTGTGATGGGGCTGTATGTTTGACCGAGGCACAAAAAGTCATTTTTACTCCGAATAAAACATGCTATTTTCTTTTCAAACGTTCCAAATAATATAAAAATATTTAAAAGTCATACCTTGTATATATATATATATATATATATATATATACATATATATACCAAGAAACTATGGTTACGCTCGTTGAATTCGACACTTTATGTCAGTTTAATAACATATTTTCGTACTTTTATGCTTAGGCGTAAAAGTGCTTTTCTTATATGCCTAGGCATTAAAATTACTTTTTTATATTGTCAATCACGTCGCAAAGATTAATAATTTTGCACAAAACATCCCCCTTTAGAACTTTTTCTTTAATGGCCATAAACGGGAATAAAAGACTTACCGTCTGAACAAACACTAAAGGCGCCACCGGTCATCAAATGGTCTAAAAATTGCGAAAATTTAATCATCTAATTTTGACACAAGGGGTCGCGCTTAACTTTTAATTTTAATTCAGTTTTCATTGTTTTCAAACCACATTATTAGGTTTTGTTGTATTTTGTGAATGTATAAATGTTTTCTTAGTATAAAGTTACATCATATTAATTTAAATTGTATTGCGTACATATTATGTAGTTATTGTTAGAGATAGTTAAAATATTCTAAATAAATTCACAAGTTAGAATTAGTAATTCTACAATTAGAGAATTTTTAAGAATTAGTAATTAGATAATTCTGTTTTTTGTTATATTATTTCAAAAGTAAAAACATAATGGTATACAGCGTAATTTTGATATGCAGGTTCAAAACAAAAAGTGCTGTTATATTTTTCAGTTTTTGTTGTCAGCCGCTGAAGTTTCAGTGATTTTAGTGTTGTCGGATATTTTTATTTGTGAAAAAGAAATATTGCGTTTGGATTGCAAAACTAAAAGTGGCAGTTTTATTGCAATGCAAGTAAGCGTTTGTCCATGTTATATTTTATCTTTTTCATACCTACGACAAAATATACATATATTGAAATTTTATAATTCGTTTTATTTAAAAAATGTTAGAAGACAAACCTGTAATTGACATACCTAATTGTTATGTAATATCAGGTAATATATTCCATTTAAATGTAATATATGACTTTACAATTAAAAAAATGTAAATTTAAAAAATATATTAAAAATATATTCCGGGTGCGTCTCAAAAGTGGCTCACCCCGATTACTTTTTTATTTTTTCAGATAAAAAAACGAGATTTGGTATTTTAGTATATGACATAAATTGGGATTGATTGACATATTCAATTGATTTCAGTCACTTCCGATTTCACCGGAAATTACTACAACTTTTGATTTTTAAATAGCACCCTCGATATTTTTTTTACTTTATTCGATTGAAAATGACACTCTGAATCGAATGACATATCATATGTCAACTTTTGACATATTCGCTCAAAAACAAATTGTATTTTAAATTTCAATCTAGAGTGCCATGACTGTGTTAAAAACACTAATTTTTAATCAAGGAGCCTTGGAAAAATAGATTTGATCGTCTAATGTTTTTAGTGTCTTGTTCTGGCTGGTTAAAAGATGCCCAAATCGTATTTTTAATCATATCTCAATTTTTTCAAATGGAACGAGGGTGGATCATTAGCATATTTAGAAAAACCATTTTTTTACGAATAATTTGATACCACACACATGGTATTTCGAATCAAATTGTCGTTATGAACCGCATGTTACAATTTCAAATAAACCATATGCGAAATGTCAAAAGTTGACATATGATATGTCATTCGATTCAGAGTGTCATTTTCTATCAAATAAAGTAAAAAAATACCGAGGGTGCCATTTAAAAATCAAAATTTGTAGTCATTTCCGGTGAAACCGGAAGTGACAGAAATCAATTGAATACGTCAATCAATCCCAATTTATGTCATATTCTAACATACCAAATCTCGTTTTTTTATCTGAAAAAATAAAAAAGTTATAGGGGTGAGCCACTTTTGAGACGCACCCGGTATACAGACATTAATTGAAATTTTTAGTATGCGAACTGTGCGAATAAACACGACAGATGCTTTTTATTTACTTTGATTTCTTAACAAGTTCTAAAGGGGGATGTTTTGTTTGTGACGTTTGAAAAAAATATATTTTATAAAACTTTTAGGGTTGGCATTAGCAAACTTACTAACTACTCAGTCGCCTACCATTCTACAGCGCTTCAGTGATATAATGTCCCATATATTAGAGGTTTTAAATGATATTACAAAAACCGAGGAAGATGGTTCAATAATGGATTCGTTGATTTTAATAGACGGTCAGAGCCCTAGCGATTTTGATGATGATGGTGGTTATTATGACACATATCATGATATGAGGAAGAAACAATTAATATTGAACGATCCCGTGCATACAATAGTTCTGAAAGATTATTTACAGTCTCAAGTAAGTTTATTAATACTGTTATACAATATGATCGAAAAAAAAAACGGTCAGCGATGGATATGAAATGAAGATCGCTGTCATTTTATATGTAAAATTATATGGGGCATATCATCAATGTTCATTTCCAAACCAATTGGACGCCGTTTTTTTTCGATCCTACGCTAGTTATAGAAAATGTTATCATAATTAATTATAAAGTCTCTCTAGCAAATTTCTGAAGGACGGCAATTCAGCCAATTGGGCTCTAGTAAACCCATTTGCATAGGCGAACATGCATTCCAAAAAGGAGTGCAGCGCATTACCCATTGCGCATCCCACCTGCGTCTCGCATATCGTCCCACTTAGTGCACTTATATGTTTCTGGGCGTGCGACGAGTTGATTGGCTCTAATTTGTTTCGTTGCATAAATTTGTCCCAGAATGTATGTAGTTTGTCCCAGTATCGACGCACAGCAAGCTGAACGGCGAGTAGCGCGGTGATGTGAACTGCTCCATTGTGTTTTTACCTTAAGACACTGGCTATCTAGCAAATTTAATTTTGTAAAAAAGTGGTAATGCGACCAGAGTTGCCAACACTCCAAGTTGCACTCGCTAGATTCGTATTTAAAAACCGCTAGAATCCGCTAGAAGATATTGAAACTCAAGTTTTGCTGTGTCGCCTTTTTTTGAACGTTTTGGCAAGGTTCTCGTCACGTTATGAGACTAGGGTTGCCAATTCAAAGGGTTGTGAAATTGTTATAGCTAAATTTCAGGAGGGCAAAACAAGATAAACACGGTAGCGCACCTCATTCGCCTCGGTTGATTTGTAGAATGTAGACTGAGTAAGAGGGGTGGGGGTTAATCACTGCGACCTTAAAGATCTATTGTGCCCCCCTTCCTTGAGTCATCCCACTATACTAACACTCTATAACCCATCATACCCCTGTTGTAGAGGAGACAGGGTATTTCCCATCCTCCTCTGACAACAGTTCTTCCTCCGAGGGTAAACACTCTTCCACGGTTGGAGTTTGGCCCTCCGTGCCGCCCTTCACAGTCGAGGAGCTTGCCTCCGGCTGAGGAACCCGTGAGGTGGAGGCTGGAGGATCTGTCTCCATTTTCTCCACCTCTCTTTAACTTGACTTGGTCTCTCCTTAGACCTGATACCGGTGTAGTCCAGTATCTATAATAGAGGATATGTCCCTCTTTCTCCATTGCCTCCTTGGATTTGAGGTCAATTCCTATTGTGAGGACCTGACCATGACTCTCCTCCCTCGAGTTGATGACTCACCAACTCGATCTCCTTACATTGAAGTTCTGACCTTGGATAAGGCTCAGCAGGTAGGTGGTGTCTTTCCCCTTGCCTCTCGGCAGAAAGACCGTTATGGCCGCCCCTTTAGGGATGTTTTCTCCCTTCACTGCAACCAGTTCCGACCCTTGCCAATTTTTAAGCTGAGTTGCGATTTCCACCAACCAATTCGCCGATTCCTGAGATACACAATCTATGAGAATCATGCCCACCCGAAAGTGTATCCCCGCAAAACGCAGCTGACCCACATTTTGTAGATCGTTGTGTTGCGATCCGATCGCCACTACTTCGTCCAGTATAGCCTCTTCTAGAGACGTTTGCTGGTCGGTGGTCAGAGCAACCTCTCGGAAATCCTTTGGCAGCACCGCTATTTTCATTTATTCAGCAATAGCGGCAAAGCTGGTGATACGTCCCTGCTTGTCTCCGGTTGTTGGACGGCTTTCCATCCTGGCTTTTTTCGCTCCCTGCCGAGGTGAGAGGTTCTCGCTCCCTCTCTTGCCCTTCTTGCCCTCTACAGATCCCCGTATGCAGAAGTAATGGGTAAATACAATGGGGTGCCCCCTGATGTCCCAAGGTTGAAGCCAGTAACGGCTAGTCCTCTATCTAACCACGCATCCCTTTGACCTGATCCCGCTATCTTAGGATTTAGGTTTTTGGTTAGGTTGTCTTCTCTTGATTCAGGCGATTAAACTAAGAACCCCCCACATCCTCTACCCGCGAGACATGACCACAGTCAGTAGAGGGTGCCTGGTATGACGGACAGGGGTAGCCCCGTCCGGCATCGTTATATGTCTTGGTGCAATTCCCTGGCCACGACACTACAGCCAGGGACAAGATAATTAGTGAGATGCTTCTTAGACCAAGCCAAGCACTATGGGGTTTTCCCCCAGTACCTGACCAGGAGCTTCCCCACCAACGATAAGGTCTTGCATCTCCTAGGGGAAGTCGGTTGATTATTCGAAATTTGAATATTTTATGAGAATGTTTTACTTTAGGTGCCTCAAATTAAGATATATCTTATAAAACGAAGTAGATACTTTCACTTTTTAAACAAAAATGAAGAGCTTGAAGCGCGGAAAATGCAATTTTTCGTAAAATAAGAGAGAAAACTTTACCTTTATATTTATCATTTAGCTTCAGTCTTTTAAACTCTGATTTGAGTTTGTTTTTTAATGTTTTCTTTTTATCTGCAATAAAATTTATCTATATGTTTTTAATGTACGTAATTATACGTCTCGTAATATTTCGTATGTTATACAAATTATACAGATCTATAGTAGATCTATATTATACAGATACTATATAAATAGTTCTGACTTATAACGCAATGTCAATGTAAGTCGGGAACTAATGTGAACTAAAAACCTAGTTTAAGGAACTATACCTAGGCAACTAGTTCCTCTCAAGGAAGTGAAATTCCCACCTCTAAGATATTTATGTATTTTGGTATTGGACAATCTGTAAACAAATCTCTAAATGTTATGGGTGATGCGAGAGTCAAGAGATATTATGACTCAATTTTATAAAACATATTTTTTTTAATTTATAAAACCGAGATTTTTTACTTTTAGGTAAACGAATTGAGAAATCAAATAGGTCCTCAGTATCAGCAGCTGATAAATACTTTACATGCGGATGATATGTCACAACTACAAAGTTATATTACTTTTTAGCATACCCACATTAAATTTAGTAATTTATAATAATATAGTAAGATTTGTAGTACACGATCAGATGAAAATAATTTGTAAAAAACTTATTTTGTGATTATTGTATTTTCAGTTTGGTGTACATAGTTTTTATCTGTTTTATTTCGAATCCAAGTTGCCTGTTTATAATTATTTGATTGTATTGTTATATGTATACAATATTGTTTAAAAATTAAATGCTTTAAGAGATGAAATTATTTATTCACATTTTTTTAATTGTAAAAATGGACGAGCTCCTTTGTTATTAAATTCATTTTAATCCCTATTTTAAATTATAACAAAATATAACATTAATATTTCATTAAACATTTTCTACGTATCAATAATTCTTATTGTGTCTTTTTCAGAAACTGTGAAATAATTTTAAGTTTTTATGAACATTTTGGTAATTTTATGTATAATATTGATTAAATTGTAAAAGAATTAAATTTGTATATTTATTTTATTACAGAACATGTAAAATTTTAAGTTTTGACAAATATTAATTTTATTTGAAATTGACGTACCTACCTTTTCTTCAAATTGATGAAAAGGGGATACCTACCTAATTGTATAATAAAATGGTACCAAAAGTAAAATTGTGTTTTTATTATCAAAACATCTTTGTGGTAATTAGTTCAGTCATTGGGGATCAAAAAAGGGACCTGCTTGAAAAAAGTTCGGAAGTTTTGAAACTTTGCAGGTTTATAGATTTTGGGGTCCCTAACTAAAATTCATAAAATGCATATTTCCAGACTTGCCGCCGGCGCCGCCATCTTGCCAAGATGGCGCTCAAAATCGGTATTTTATAAATATCTCCAAAACTATGCGTTTTTCGCAAAAATTTGAAGAGAGCAAAATTAAAGAGAATAAAATTTTCTATAAAAAAGGTTATATCAAAATTTTCGCTAAAGTCAACCGTTTAGGCACAAAATCCCTGGAATTTTTACAATTTTGCGTAAAGTATGATATACATGGTCGATTTTTCAAATGTCGATTAGTGTTCACTAAAACTAGTTTTAGTTTAGTTTCTTCAATTTTGTCATGAAACAGTGGCGTATCATTAATTCGCTCATTAATTTATGAATAATTAATTGTCGTGCTGGACAGCATTCATTGCGAACTTACCACCAGGTTCAGCATTGGCCTGGTTGTACCAAAGATGCTGAAGAATGGGGTTAGAAGAAAACAATAACAGGCATTACTCCAGTCACAACGTTGAAAGATCCAGCTCCAAAATCCCTATTGGCATTTTTATCCTGTAAATGCAAAACCAACAACTATGGTAAAGCCCGCGGATGCAGAAAGGCAGGATTAAAAGGTTCAATGATTTGTGCATACTGCAATGGGAAATCCTGTGACAATATCACTGAAGTGTCACTCGACGAATCCGATGAAGGGGAGTTGGACTTGCCTGTAGATATCCCTCTGGCGGCTGAAGATGAAGAGTTGGACGTATTGAGCCCACCCTGATGAGCCTAGCACATCAGACACGATCGACTTTGACATCAATGAGCCAGATTCGTCAGGCTTGTGCAGATAAGTTAAAGTTTTTAATTTATCTAGTGGAGTAGACCTCCGGGGAGACCACGTTAAAATAAACGCGCCATGTACTTTACCTCTTGGGTGGTGTGGAAACAAGTAAACATTTTCAATAATTAAAATGAATTATTCATAAATTAATGATACGCCATTGTTTCATGACAAAATTGAAGAAACTAAACTAAAACTAGTTTTAGTGAACCCTAATCGACATTCGATTTCGGAAAATCGACTATACATAATATATCATATTTTACGCGAAATTGTAAAATTTCCCCGGATTTTGTGCCTAAACGGTTGACTTGAGCGAAAGTTTTCATAAAACCTTTTTTATAGAAAATTTTATTCTTTTTAATTTTGCTCTCCTCAAATTTTCGCGAAAAACGCATAGTTTTCAAGATATTCACAAAATACCGATTTTGGGCGCCATCTTCGCAAGATGGCGGCGCCGGCGGCATGTCTGGAAATGTGCATTTTATGGATTTTAGTTAGGGACCCCAAAACCTGTAAACTTGCAAAGTTGCAAAACTTCCGGACTTTTTTCCAAGCAAAAATCCCCAATGACTGAACTAAATGATTTATTATTTGTCTACGAGTTAAAATATTATGACGCTGTCTTAACGAATATCAAGTAATAATAATTGTAAAATATTCGCTAATTTGCGAATTAAACGACCCCAATGTCTTAAAACTTTTAAATTTAACGTATTTATACGTCCATATGCTTTATACGGATTTCTTGCATTTGGGTAGGTAGCTATCAGATTAACACATCCGAAATTTGGATAGTCATATTTTTTTGCCTTTCAGGTACTTCGTACGAAAAATGTATGTTTGTCAAATTAAAATAATAAAGCATTCGTGGAATTGACAACTTTATTATTATTAAGAGACAGAAGCATAGATAAATGGACAGAAGTAATATTTATATCTTATAACAATGATTTTCCAATGAATTTAATTTTTTTCCTTGTTAATTCCTTGATGCAATCAAGAACTTTTAATGTACTGAAATATCTTGTTACTTTTGAGTAGAGAGATAAACAAATTATAGTACAATATTGCAGTGCAATAGCTGTAAAATAAACGTTCTATCTAAACACTTAAATACTAATTGTTTCCCAACTAATTGTGCTATCCATAGATATCCCTAAAGAACATATGGAGTAAAGGTTTTTAAGGAACGAAGGAAAATTGTTTAATAAGAAAATATCGCAACATTCCCAAAAATAAATTCTGTCAGTAACATGACTGTTTAAAAAAATTGCTGTGACCACATTTTAGCAGCACATAAAAGAACACTTTGAATATAATTAATCTGAATTAGATGCGGCTCTAATACTCGTACCGTCTTATTTTAATTTAAACATGATTGCTGTAACAGGTAGGTTTGGTTATTATTATTACAAAAAGTTACATGTGAAGAACTATAGCCGCCGACATGTATACATAATACATACCACTGTTTGGGGTCGTTTCGTTTTCTTGTTTACGTTTGTCACTTAACTTTGATTTGTGAAGGTATACGTTCATTCCATAGGTTCCATTCGGCAAAATGTCTGGTTAGAATTCCGTTTGCAGTTCGAAGAAAAAGATATCCAAATAGGAATTTTCCTGATAAGCGTTCCGTTGAAAAACTACATGTCCTATTTCGCAAAGATCTGGTAGTGTGGTTTATAAAAAACCTATTAGGCAGAAACCTGTCGTTGGAAGTGAAGAAAATGAATTTGCCGTAATTGGCTCTTTTATAGAAAATCCATAAATAAATCAAAAAATTACTTCTTCGTTTTATTTGATAAAATAGTAAATACATATTTAATAAATACTATTTTTTATTAAACTATTGTAGGTAAATTAAATAAAAGTAAACTGCCATAAATTTAAATAAAGATCGTAAACTAATTTTAATGTATAAAATAACATGTCACTAGAAACTGCAACCTGCCCTCTTGGTTGCCATTTTATTGAAAAATTGCCCTTTATTCAAAATCTGAGCTAGATAGCTACATGAAATCCCATAGCTATCAACAAATATAGTTTGAAAGAGCATTTAAATCTGCTTCGACTTATTTTAAGCAAGTAGAATTTTTTTTAGAATTAGAATGAGTGGGAGGGGGGTTAATCGCTTCGACCTTACAGATCCATTGTGTCCCCCTTTCTTGAATCATAACTCATCATACAGTCCCAGGGCTTTGACAAAAGCCAGTATCTGGGACGGTTTTATAGAGGGTAATTCTCCATCTCCAATATCAGTCGTACCAAAATTCATGGCACGAATGGTTGTCGTCTCGGCGCACTCAGTGATGAGGTGTACTGGTGTTTTACCATCTTCCCCACAGAATCTGCATTCGCCGTTTCTTCTTAGTTTCAATCTACTGAGGTGTTCATTGAGGAGACAGTGTCCTGTTAAAAACCCCGTGACAATCCCAAGATTGTTCTTACTCAGACCCAGGAAGATCTGTGATTTTTCTTGATCATAAGCCCTCAGAAACTTCTTCGAGTGTCTTAGACCATTGCAAGATTTCCATTCCAGGTTGCGGATGGAATCTTCCAAGTTCTTGAGTTCCGCCTTGAGTTGGTTACCACTTGGAAAGCAGAACGGTTCTGGTCCAGTTAGTGGAGTGTTCGCTCCTTTCCTAGCTAGATTATTTGCTTTTTCATTGCCTTCTATCCCTTGGTGAGCAGGCACCCAGTGTAGGAGGACTTTGTTTTCTTTGCCTAATTTATTCAGCTTCTCTATGCATTCTTTGACCAATTTCGAATTGATTGATACTGAGTTGATTGCCTTTAACGCTGCTCGACTATCAGATAAGATGGCTATTTCTTGTTTCCGATAGTTCCTATCTAAGATAAGTTGTACGCATCTCTCGATAGCGTAGATTTCTGCCTGTAGGATACTAGGGTAAGTGCCCATTGGTTCGGAGTAATTAGCTCTCGGCCCAAACACTCCGATCCCTGTTCCCGTATTGGTTTTGGAAGCATCAGTATACCAAGTTATGGTATGGTCTTTTAACTGCTGGGCAAGCGTTTCGCTCTTCCAATCCTTCTTATTGCTCAATACTACATTGACATGTTTGTCAAAGTTGTACGTTCTTGGCATATCGTGGGAGTTGCAGGAGTGGTATTTCCTTTTTGAGGGTGTTCCAAGCCCCTGATCTGACAATTCTCCCAGTACTCATTCCGTTAGTGACCATTCTAATCATTGTCGCATTGGCAATCTACCAATGACAATGTGCAGTGGTGTTAGATCTAGAATAACCTCCATTGCTGCTGTTGGACAGGTTCTCATGGCTCCTGTGATGCAAACACAGAGTCTCTGGAGTCTGAGTCTCTGGACTTTGCATAGGTTTAGCCTTGCCGTCCGTTGCTCTAGTTTTGTGTACCAGGCAACTGCTCCATAAGTAATCATGGGTCTTACTATCATGGTATACATCCAGCGCAAAATGTTAGGGGAGCAGCCCCATCTATTTCCCGCCAGTCTTCTGCATATCATGAGAGCCTTTATGGCTTTGCTGGTAGTGTTCTTAATATGCCTGTTCCACAGGAGTTTACTGTCCAGGGTTATTCCCAGGTATTTAACTTCCTGTGTTGGCAGTATTTCCTTTCCATCTAGTTGGATTCTTTTCAAGGTTTTCAGACTTCGCCTTCTGGTGAATGGCACTATCGCGGTTTTTTCTGAGTTGATACTCAGCCCGACAGTCCTACACCATCTCTCAGTGATACGGAGTCCTCTTTGGATAATATCACACAAGGTGCCTTCATGTTTCCCCCGAGCGATCATGACTATATCATCTGCATACCCAATGCAGTGTATTCCCGCTAGAGTTAATTCATCTAGTAGTTCATCCACCACCAAGCTCCACAGCAAAGGGAGGTTACTCCACCTTGTGGAGTTCCTTGCGTTGTTTTAACAGCTACAGTTTTGGTGCCCATCTGAGCCTCTGCTGTTCGTGTTGACAGCATTTCCCAAAACCAGCGAATAATAGTTCTGTTCACCCCTCTTGTTTCTAGAGATCGCCTGACCACCTTATGTGGTATATTGTCAAACGCTCCCGCAATATCCAAGAAGGCACAAATTGCTGTTTCTTTGCTATCCAGACTTGTCTGTATTAGCTCCGTTAATTGGTACAGAGCAGTTTCTGTGGATCTGCCCGTTCTATATGCATGCTGACTATGCAAGTAAGTAAGTTAGTTAAGTAAGTAAGTATTTATGTAAAATACATATTTAAAATAGACCACAAATTTTTGACACCCCTGTGTAAACCTCAATTCGTTTAATGTATATTATGTATATTAAACGAAGCAATCAAATTTTTCAATAAAGTTTATTTATCTGGCTTAAAAGTCAACACAAGAATTAATTCAGAAAAGTAATGCACAAAGTGTTGATAATCTTTTTTGTTTTTTTTTTAATATCTTTACTCAAAAACCAAAGCTTGTACACATATTTAAAAAAATATAATAAATGTCTTATTTTGTGTCCAAGGATTCAAAAATTAAATAAAATACCGGGTGTTCCATAAGAAAAAATATAACACTTTGGTGTAGATCTTAGTTCTGACATACCATGTACATTTCAAAATAGTTTTAAATTATGCACATTGCTTTCCCACATATACCCATAACATATTTTGTTTCTACATCTCTCTGTTTTCGTATAACCAACCGATGCGAATGAGGTGACCTACCCTGTATAAATGAAAATCGAGTTAGAACTGCAGCGCAGTATAATCGTAGCATATTTATGTAAAATGACTATCTATAGAAAAAAATACTAAATACTTTATAACAGTCTACAACTACAACTTATGAATTTAATTGCGTTTTATTAAGAATACCTACTGCTTTAACATTTAAGTAAGTATATTTTGGTATAATGTTAGGGGGCTGTCTTACAAGAAAATTTACCTACATTTCCTAGAAACTGAGATGCTAATTTCCGCAAACCAAGAAAAAAGCCCTTCGAAACTTCGAAGTTTGACTCGGTTGAACCCAAACCGCCTTAAATAAACTTAATAGTATAAAATAGAAACATTCAAAACAGTGGAAATATTGAAAGATTTGCCTTCGTGAAATAGTATATTTGCAAGATCACATAATATAATTTATACATTATTAATAATTATTATTAACAATAAAATTATTGTCACAGTTTAATTTGTATTATTTTTTATATAGGTAGATACTTTTTTCATTTGCTATACATATTAATATGCCTACTGCTAGTGCTAGTTTACTATTCTAAGCATATACTACCCACAACATTACAATTAATTAAAAGTTGCATTTATAAAATTATTAAGAAACTAAAATAAATGTGTATGCCTAGAACTAATAACACAGTGAAATAATAAAGAGATATAAAAACATAACTTCATAGTAATAACCTTTTTTATGTTGATTGTATTCAATTTAAGTTTGCTTTGTTATCTTAGATCATATAAGTATATATGATCTAGGTTTGTTATAATAATTGATGTTCTTTTTATAACCTATGATCCTATGATAATACCTAACCAATCACCAATACAATTAATCAATGCTATCAATGTATCATTATATCAAATTTTCAAACAAGATATGCCTACATGTTTAAATTAATATTCTATCACGAATATTAAGGGTAATACTAATAAAATTGTTTTAGGTAATTATTTTAATGAATGTATGTGAATAAATTAATATATTTTACAGACTCAATAAAATATAATGATAAACATAAGCAGTACACTTTACCTAATTTGGAATTTCTTCTACAATCTAGGAAAGACAATTTTTTTCTTAACAAGTTTTGTAGTAAGTATAGAAATATGTGTTAAAAGTAATCCTCATAAGCCATTGGAGATTCACCAGAAAAGTCGTCGTAATTGTCAAATTCATCGGCAATTTTTGATATGTCGATATCTTTAAATTCTTCTATATCGTCGTCATGTATTGCTAAAGTTATAGGTTTATACGTTGTCGTTTCCGCGATTTTATCTACATGCGGTGGATGATATGTTTTGCCTTTATTACCAAGATTCTTTCTTTTAGGATGTGAGTTTGACGAGTCAGCTCCCACAAATGTTGCTTTAACTGTAGCTGGAGGACTAACAAAACCTTCCAAAGTCTTGTGTTTTTGTAGAATCAGATGTTTGTGTTTCAGTTTCTTTTTGGATAATGCACTTTCAAAGTCAAACTTGGGTGGTCTGAAAAATAAATTAGAATTAAGTATAGATGGGAAATATTCTTAAAATATATTTTACGCAGGACCACCTTTTTTGAAGGTTCCAAGGGAAAAACATGATTCGCAAACATGCGCCAATTTCTTAATTTTAGGATTTTACCGTTGATTGAAAGAATTGGGAAGATACGCAACCTAATGGACAAATTCGTGACAAGGCTGATTTTATTTCCCCTCATGTCCCAAATGCTGTACGGTGGAGCCTTTACTTGTTCTGTGGCCAACGTATAAAACATTCATTTTCTCTAATTCGGCCAGCGAAGGCATATCGAAGACGGTGTGGAACGGAAAACGACAGTGTTGCCATATTAAAAAATGTTATATCTGTAATATGTTTGACGAAAATATATTTGGATGGAAAATCCGCGTTTATATTGAACATTTATTCGTGTTAAACATAGAATAAACAACAAAAATAAATATTCTTTTAGGGGGTACTTAAAGGTACTGAATATTTCGTATGATCGAAAAAGTCGTTTAGTTGGCTTGGAAATGACGACTATTGACATTTAGCATAATATTTTACATATGACATAAAAGCCAACTCTAACGCCGTTCTTTGTTTAATCATATGATATTATATTAAATTGTTTAATAATAAATCGTATTATTAACGTACTGCACCTTAAATCCGTAAATCTACGGATTAATAACCGGCAACCACTCACTCTGTCGCTTGAAAGCAGAACTATGGTATAGTATTTTCTATCCCCTACGCTGTAAACGACTATTAGTGCGCAGCGGCTTAGAGCTAAAGTTTAGTCCAAGATTTAGTTTAGCTGCTAAACTAAATCTCGGACAGGTTGACTAGCGGCGTCGGTATCGCCAGCTACATCTCTGACAGGTTTTGTGCCACGAAATCGCCCATAATTAACGGTTTTACAATATTATAGTAGGCCTAACTGGTCCCTATAAAATGTATAAACTCTACAAGTGGTTAAATCCTATGATATACAAGGTGTTTCAAAAAATATGTGCCGTCTCTCGTGGGGAGATTCCACACGTAAAAATGAGATTTATTTTTCATATCAACATAGGTCCGATTCTACTTTGTTTCTGCTACAGGGTGTTAAATTAAAATAAAAATACCTAAAATTAATAAATTATATATTTTACCTAATTTATTATTAAATATTATTACTATTAGTACTAACCTACTAACCTACAGCAATTTCAAATAAAAAAAATAATAGTATTTAATATAATTACAAAAAACCTAATTCTAAAAAGATTTAACATCCTGCAACTCTGAAACTATGCATTTATATACCCATATTTTAGGAACTTTTTTCATATTTTTTGATGAGGAATCAATGAGTACTTATTTAAAACTCGCAAATTTGTCGTAATGACAATTTTTTTAAAGGTTGCTATCTATTATTATATTATATTAACTTGAAATATTTGACCCTAAACAACACGCGGAAACAATTTTTTCGACTGCGAATAAATTATTCTTATTTTACTAAAAAAAAATTCAAGACATCTTTTAAAACTTGTTTAATTTTAAGGCCCATTAATATTTTTCAAAGTAGAAACAATACATTTATCAATAAAGTTGTTTGCGTTTAACTTTTTTGCCTTGGGTAACGAGTTACAGAGATCTTCAAACATCCTTTACACTTAAATACTTTTGTTTTGTTTTCCTTTACTGCCATCTGGCATATGTCTCTAACTAAATTATAAAATAACATTTTTACTATAATTATCCCAATTTAGGATAAAACGCGACTTAGACGCCATATTATTATAGTTTTGTATTTCTGTGAATTATGATTTTAAACAACGTTGCAGTTTGTACTAAATTAGGCTGTTAGCCAACGTCGGTATCCAACGTCGTTTCGACCCAAAAATTATTCTCCAAACTAGTGCAGACTAGGATTGGCACGAGGTTGTGCCGACGTTGCGCCCCGACGTTTGGTCGCGTGACACAACGTTGTCCCGACGTCCAAATGTTGCTTGGGGAATAGAATGACATATCATATGTCAACATTTGACATTTTCGCTTAATAAAAAATCGCATTTTAAAATTCAATCTAGAGTGCCACGGCTAGGTTAAAAACACTAATTCTTTTGTTAAAAGTCCCAAAGTCTCAACTCAAAGTCAAAGTTTAGTGTTTATTTCATTTCCTGTTATTGTAATTAGTAAACCTATAAAACATAATTATTACAGGTATAGTACTCGTAGTTGTGACATTATTACGTTCTAAAGCGTTTTCTGGCTGTAAAATTAGTAAGAGCTTATCATGTTTTTCCCTTGGACCCTTAATTTGGTTTTAAAACAAAACATAATACCCTATACAAAGGAATATCTTTATATTTGTCGAGGAATGTTATGGATGTTCTTTCGAAAATAATTCTAGTTAAATTATTGAAAATATTCTGGTTAAATTGAGTCTTACTTATTAAATAAGATAAGAATAGGTACTATGTTTTTATTCTAGCGTTTAATTTTAGTATACCCACAATCCTAAAACAAGGATTGAAGGGAGAATAGATTATGAGAGATGAACAAGATTTTATTTGCTAAAAGTAGGTAACACCAGCATTTTACAACAACAACATACTTAAGAAGCGTTTAAACTTACTTTTCTCCTTGAAAAACCCTATTTTGCAGGTGTACTATGTCGTGTCTCATGTCTGCTAACATTAGCAACAAGAAGTCAAAGGATCCCCTGTCTCCTTTAGGCCCTCTCAAACCTCTTTCTCCTTGTTCTCCTTTAGGCCCTTGGGGACCTGTTGGACCTGTGTCACCCTGAAATAATTTTGTATCGTAATTCTAGTTTTAATTTACTTAAACCTCATATCTGTATCATTATGAAGTGTAGTGTTCTTCGTACCTAAAGAATACGATTAAATCCTATTACATTTATTAGAAAAAAATGTATTTACATTTTTTGCAATATAATAGTACTATTGACATGTAGATATTGATTGCAGTCATTCAAATCTATGAGATATACTAATACATGTATACCAGGTGTTTCTCAAAAGTGGCTCACACTTAGAACTTCTTAATTTTTTCAGATAACAAAACGAGATTTGACATGTTAGTGTAGGACATAAAAGTATTCAATTGCTTTCGCTCACTTCCTGTTTTGCCGGAAACGACTACAATTTTTGATTTTTAAATAACACCCTCGGCCTTTTACTTCATTTGATAAAAACTTATATTCTGAATAGAATGACATATCATATGTAACTTTTAACATTTTCAATTTAAAAAATAGCATCTTAAATTTGAATTGGCCATAAATATGTAACGACAATTTGACACGGAATACCAAGTGTGTGGTACCAAATTATTCGTAAAAATGCTTTTTCCAAATATGCTAATGATGTACCCTCGTTCCGTTTGAAAAAAATTGAGTTTTAATTAAAAATACGATTTAGACATCTTTTAACCGGCCAGGACAAAACACAAAAATCATTACAAGATCAAATCTGTTTTTCCAAGGCTCCTTGGTTAAAAAGTATTGTTTTTAATACAGTGATGGCGCTTTAGATTGAAATTTAAATTTCGATTTTTTAAGCGAGAATGCTACCAAATTTCGTTTATTTATCTCAAAAAATAAAAAAAATATAGGGGTGAGTCACTTTTAGAACACACCTGGTTTTGAGGATTAATATCAGATTTTCTATTTGTGATTTTGACACATTTTATTATAAAATAACGAGTATAATAATAAAACTATATAAGGATTCTTGCCACTTAACTGCTTATATAGAAATTTAATTCTATGCTGTGTTTGTCATAATGTGGATCAACCTGCTCTCACTACCGGTTTCCCTACTCCATCATCAGGTGAGCTTTCGACAAGTCGGAATTAACTATCTCTGCGCTGTGGTTGTTATTTTGTGGATCTGCCCAAGCCCACCTGATGATGGAGTAGGGCTCCGAAACCGGTAGTGAGAGCAGGTTGATCCACATTATGACAAACACAGGATAGAATTAAATTTCTATATAAGCAGTTAAGTGGCAAGAATCCTTATATAATTTTATTATATATCTATACTGCAAGAAATTTGTTTTCTATTTTATAATTTGGCTTGCCTGAAAGAAAGCCTTTTACCTTCTTTTTACTATCGACAGTTGCGTCCCGGTGGTACGAAAGTACTGCCATTGCACGCAGGCCGCTATCTCCCGTTCGGGACTTAATATCTAACCGACACTTTTCGACAAGTCGGAATTAACTATCTCTGCGCTGTGGTTGTCATTTTGTGGATCTGCCCAAGCTCACCTGATGATGGAGTACGGCTCCGAAAGCGGTAGTGAGAGCAGGTTGATCCACATTATGATAAACACAGCATAGAATTAAATTTCTATATAAGCAGTTAAGTGGCAAGAATCCTTATATAATTTTATTATATATCTATACTGCAAGAAATTTGTTTTCTATTTTATTATTTGTAAATAGTCAGTTTAATTCAAAAATCGAAGTCATGTTAGAAATTCCTATAATGATCTTTATCTTGATATTCCTATCTTGCTGAATGGACTGTACTTACTCACACTGGTAAAATGTCGACAAAATCCACATTTTAAGACACTCTTAGTAAAAATCTAATTAAGCGACTCTATTAATTTATTTCAGCCAAAGAACTAAATATTTTATTATGTAGAATCGATTAAGGCGCGAATTTCACTATAACGTATCGTCACCGTCACATCGAGCCGCCGCGCCCTCTCGGCATAAAACATGAAGTAAGTGGGGGATGGACGTTGTCACGACGCGACGGCGATGTTACGGGTAGTGTGAATATGTTTATTGTAAATAAGAATATTTACCGTGTTAGCCGGGCGGCAGCTCGACGTGAAGATGGCGGTACATTGCAGTGAGAATAGCGCCTAACTCTCATACAGCATCTCCATACATTTTTATAAATAAATGTTAATCGTAGTTTCGTCTATTATGTACTACACGAAAATTATATTGTATAATGAAAAAGCTAGAGAAGCGAATAAGCTAGTTACTAAGCGAGTCTATCAATTTATTTCAGTCAAAGAACTAAATATTTTGTGATGTTGAATCGATTAACTCTTATACAGTATCATCATACATTTTTTATAAACAAGTGTTAATCGTAGTTTCGTCTATTATGCGTTACACAAAAATTATATTGTATAATGAATAACATATAATTGTTCCATAGAGGAAAAAACCTAACATGACAGTTATTGTTATTTTATTTATCAAATGGGTATGAATTACAAAGAAAACACTGTAGGGTGTACGTGTTACATACTATTTTTATTTAATCAAGTCAGTTCAATAATATTGCCAATACTTCAATCTGTAATATTAGTTCTATATGTCTAACATAAAATATGCTTCTGTTATGGATCGTGACATAATTTTCTTTTAAAATAACAATCATAATGCTCGTTATTTTATAATAAATGTAATATATAATGATAAATGTATATATAAATGTATATAAAATGATGTCAAAATCACAAATCGACAATCTGATATTAATCCTCTAAACCAGGTGTGTTCCAAAAGTGACTCACCCCTATAATTTTTTTTATTTTTTGAGATAAATAAACGAAATTTGGTACGTTACGATATGACATAAATCAGGATTGATTGACGTATTCAATAATTGTTTTCGGTCACGCCCTGTTTCACCGGAAGTGACTACAACTTTTGATTTTTAAATAGAACCCTTGCCATTTTTTTACTTTATTCGATAGAAAACGACACTCTGAATAGAATTACATATTATCTGTCAACTGTTAGCATTCTCGCTTAAAAAAAATGAAATTTAAATTTCAATCTAAAGTGCCATCACTGTATTAAAAACAATACTTTTTAACCAAGGAGCCTTGGAAAAATAGATTTGATCTTCTAATGTTTTTTGTGTTTTGTCCTGGCCGGTTAAAAGATGTCTAAATCGTATTTTTAATTAAAACTCAATTTTTTCAAACGGAACGAGGGTACATAATTAGCATATTTGGAAAAAGCATTTTTACGAATAATTTGGTACCACACACTTGGCCAATTCAAATTTAAAATGCTATTTTTTTGAATTGAAAATGTTAAAAGTTACATATGATATTTCATTCTATTCAGAATATTATTTTTTATCAAATGAAGTAAAATCATTTTCATTTTAAACGCATTTTCATTACCGCACTCCGTGTTTAGATGACTACCAAAAAGGAAAAAATATTTTGTAAAACATTTATTTTGCACTAAATTGGAAAAATATGTTGTGAGTACCTTTTCATTTCCAGAGTTGTGTACTTTTTTTTCGGTGCACCACTTTTAATACTAGAGTATGTATATTCATACTTCTGTTTCGATCTTGCTGGAAGCAATTCAGAAATGGCTCTGAATGCCTCTTCTCCAATGTCAGAGGGAATACTTTCCGAATCGCTCATTTTTTAAACAAGTGATATCAACATTATTTACTGTCATATTGACATTGCTATGCATGGTTTTATTTGAACAAAGGTATTAAGGTAATTGATTTTTAGGATAGGTGTAGTGTATAGGCCGCTTTAGATTTGTAAGTAATGTAAACATGATGACTAATAAATGATAAATCGCACCGTTTGGCTGGGTAACAAAGAAATACGTTTCGAAAGGTATTCGACGTTACGCAGAGAACCGGTGAACATCGGCTGAGTGTATATTGGTGTTTTATTTTGTGTGTTCCTTAATTATAATAAAGTAATTATAAAGGACTTATGTATAGAATAAGATACACTACAATAGGTATATAGTTAAGTACAATAATTTTTAAAATTCATTGTGTGTTTTTATAGTTAGACGCAGATAAAATATTGTACAATACAGGCGAGTTAACTCCATTGAGATACTTGTGGGGTTATACAACTCGTGCTACGCACTCGTTGTGCAACGTTCACACGCGTATCTTAATGATGCTGTTAACTCACTTATATCGTAAATATTTATTAGATAATACCATAATGGTATTACAATATGCAAGTTTCAACAATAACTTTAATTGTATTGGAATCTCTTTCAATTAAAATATCCAGTTATAAATGTTCAAATATTCCTATGTTTCCTGGTATATTACAAAACATTCAAATATTTAGTGTTATACACCATATCGACGCGACGCGGCGGTTAAAGGTTTCTGTATTAAATAAATGGTTAAATTTTAAACATTTCTGAATCAAAAGAAAAATGTAAAATAAACTCTTTTGGAAAACCATAAAGTCTATGATTTCTCTTATTTATACGTTGGAGCGTCCCAATCGCACTTTTCCAATATATTTCGGATGCAGGCCAGAATCAATATTCCGATCGGGTATGTGTGAAAAACTATTTTTATTTTATTGCACTTTGCTTAAAGTTCAGTTGAAAATTTGTCAGGTAGTTTGCAAACTGCCTTGTCTTGCCGATCACGTGACGAAATTTTCAAGCAACATAAACTAAGACGTAGGGCAACTAACACATTTCTCCTTGAAGACTAAAAACAGAAAAAAAGACCTTAAATTCAAGCGTTCGTGTTTGTTTTACAAAACATTTTTTTTGGTTTGGTTTGTTTTACAAAGATTTTTGTGTTGAGAGAAAACAAATGATTGTGTAATTTAAATACAGGAATTTTAAATATTGTGTATAGTTATTTGGTTATTGAAAATTTCAAAATTTAATATAGGAATTAGATTTTCTGTTCTATATTAAGATTAATTAAACTATAAAAAAGGTAGATTATAAATCTTAAGTATTCTAAGCATTTACATCAATATTTAAAATATTTTTGTTTCGTTATTTTAGTAGTACCGTATGATCGAATAAAAACGGCGTCATCGATGGCTATGAAATGAAGATCGCTGTCATTTTATATGTAAATTTATATAGGAAATGCCATCGATCGTCATTTCCAAGCCAACTGGACGCCGTTTTTATTTGATCATACGATAGTATGTTACTAGTCAGGTGATAGGGAGAATTCCTTCTGGCGCTTCGGCTGGGTCTAAGGAGAATTTCGGTGTCTTATTCCTGGTTATAATGCCATGGCCATGGAACTGCACTAAAACGTATAATGATGCCTGATGGGACTATCCTGTCCCTCATACAAGGCACCCTATACTCTCTGTGGTCATGTGTCACGGGTAGAGCGTGTGGTAATAGTCTTGGTTAGGGTTGGTTAGGCAACCTCTCCAAAAACCTAAGTCCTACAATGACTGGACCAGGTCAAAGGGATGCGTGGCTAGATAGAAGACTAGACTCTACTGCACCATCAAATGGTCCAAAAGCCTCAGGTATCTGGGAGTGCAAATTGACAAAAAGCTGAATTTCAAAGAACACATACATGCAGTAGTGGTAAAGGCAACGGTGGCTAAATTAGCAAGAGTAATGCCAAACATTGGAGGTCCAAGGCAGGAGAAAAGGATACTTTTAAACGAAGTGGTCTACGCCAGTATTTTGTACACCGCTTCAATATGGGCAAAGGCACTGGAGGTTAAAAAAGAAAAACAGAAACTTCTATCAGTTCAGCGACGGAGCGCCTTGAGAGTTGTTTCTGCCTACAGAACTGTAGCGGAGCAAGCGGTATTCGTAATCGCAGGTATACCACCAATAGACCTATATAGACCTTATACTTTATATATATGAGCAGAAAACTAGAGGAAGAACAGATAAGGCTAATATCAAAAATGAAGCGAAGGAGATATTATATCAACTGTGGCAAAGAAGATGGGATGAGGCGTACGGTGGAAAATGGACACATATGTTAATCCCGAATATAAGAAGATGGACTGAACGAAAACACGGACAGGTAGACTATTATCTTTCCCAGATACTTAGCGGTCACGGAGCTTTCGAACATGATTTATATCGTTTTATGAAAAGAGCTAGTGCGGCCTGTAAATATTGCAGCAGTGCCATCGACGATGTCACACCATTTTTGAATGGTCAAGCAACCTCTCCAAAAATCAACCTCTCCAAAGGGATTTTTAAGGTACCCTTTAAAAAAGAAAATCTCTAGCGCGAGACCTGCCTCCACATATATCACAAGCGACCTCCTCTAACAAGGATGGGGGGTGTACCTCTAGACTCAACAAGCAACACAAGCTACAGTTTCTTCTACCCGGCCTGGGCCAACTAGGCGGACTAGACTCCGCTAGAGTAGCTCTTAGCGGAGCAGAAGTACGAAGATACCTCCGATTGTTCTTAAGAGCCGAAGCAGTCCTCGTAAAAGGGGAAAGTAAAGGAACCAAGTAACAGTCAAGCGCATCTCCACCCAAGACCAAGAGAGAAAGAGCGAGAACCCCTCACCTCTGCTCTGGCAAGGAGAAAAAAAGCCAGGTTGGAAAGCCGTCCAACACTGAGAGGCAATCAGAGACGTATCATCATCTTTGTATTTACTAAACTATTTTGATTTGCACATTTAGATTTTTACAAAAAAGTGACACAATGTCACGAAAACCGTATATCTCTTTATCTTTGCTCTTAAGGCAAATACCGCATGAATACAATGACAATGGGACACTCTATACACTATGGGTTATGATGAAAAGTAATTGCTTTTATCTAACTGGAACATTAATAACTGAATTGATTAAAAAAAGAAAGTAAAAATGTCTTACTTACTTGAGCACCTCTTTTACAAACACATTGTGCATTATCCTTGTTCTTGAGTGGTACAAATGTGTCTTGAATCGTATAGGTATAGTCATTATAAAACTGAGGTAGGCTTGAGGGCTGTTCGGGTCCTAAAGAAAACAATATACATTACCTAATATTGTATTGAACATATACCGTATGATCGAAAAAAACGGCATCCATTTCCCATATAAATTTACATATAAAATGACAGCGATCTTCATTTCATAGCCATCGCTGACACCATTCTTTCCGATCATACGGTACATATAACAAATTAAGAGATAGTGTAGGAACAAAATGTCTTGTAAAATACTCGAGAACTAATTTTTGAAGAACGTTTCCCTAGAATGAACGAAAATGAACTTGAATATACGAGCCAAAACGAGCAAATGACGAGAATTTATAATTAGCGCAAAGAAAATAGGTTGGAAAATCAATTCCTGTTTTAAACTTTTTCTGAATTTTCTCAACAACGTATTTCTCAGAATAAAGTATAGTCAAGTAGATAGTATAAGATTGACTCTCCACTTGTTTTTCCTTAGGGAACTAAAGTTTAAAGGCATTTATATTTATAAATTTTAGTAGTGTAAGAACTATATTTCAACAAGCTTAATATTAAAAAAATTCTTCCTTTTATTCAATAAAATAATCATTGGCAATAATATTTTGACATAAGTTTAATCGCATTATCTGTTTATTATACTAAATACTTGGCATAGATAAATGCTACAAGTTTAGATTGGAAAGCCCGTAAAAATTTTAGGTCGCGAAATTATTTTGGGTCGCGACCGTTATACGCGATCTGGCGCTGCCATAGCGGTCGCTAAGAACAACGGCGAACACAAACAGAAATAATTTTCTCTTGTCAAAGTCAGAATCTTCAAAAATCATAATAATCTTTAAAAATCTAAACCCAGAGCTAAACCGCTCTCATTAAATAAATTCCGAAAAGTGTTTATAGCGTCCATTTTCAAAGTAATTATTGCTATCTTGTGAGTTTAATTCAAGTTTTATTTACTCCAACCGGTGATAATTGTGAAAAAGTGGCATTAAAAACTTAAAAAACTGTGCTGTGAACTGTGAACTGCAAAAACCATCATGGATCGTGGCATAACGTCGGTTTCCGATGCTTCATAGGTATTTCATACATGCCTCCTTATATAAAATAAAGTTTCTTGTATGCAACACACTGTATTTTATTTATAAAATTAAACGAAAATAATAATAAATTTGAATAAACAATATTTGGCGATATAATTCCGGAAAAAGCCGAACCGCTCCGAAATTTTCAAAAGTTTTGGGTCGCGACCGTTGCAAGAATAGCGCCAAATAGTGTTTACATTGTCCTTATGGGCACTTTCCAATCTAAACTTGTTTCATTTATCTATGATACTTGGGAAAAGTGGCTCAAATGTGGCTCACGTCTAAAACTTTTTTATTTTTTCAGATAAAAAAACGAGACTTGGCATGTTAGTATATGACATAAATTAGGATTGATTGACGTATTCAACTGTTTTCAGTTACTTGCTGTTTCAGCGGAAATGACTACAACTTTTGATTTTTAAATGAATTATGAAAATGACTCTGAATAGAATGACATATGAATAGAATGTCAACTTTTGACATTCTCGATTAAAAAAAATTGTATTCTAAACTTTAATCTAGAGTGCCATAGTTGTGTTAAAAATACTAGTTGTTAATCAAGGGGCCTTGGAAAAATAGATGATCATATGTAAAATTTTTCAAATGGAACCAGGGTGGCTCATTAGCATATTTGGAAAAATAATTTTTACGAAGAATTTGGTACCAGGCACTTGATATTTCGAGTGAAATTATCATTATGAACCGCATGTTACAATTTCAAATAAACTATGTGCGAAAATGTCAAAAGTTGACATATGATATTTCATTCTATTCAGAGTGTCCTTCCCTCACCATTTTATATAAAACAATAGTCAAAAGGGCTTGAGAGCAAAAATTTTTCTTAAATATTTAAAAAATACCTACAATGTTACCTACTATACCTATTTTTAGCATACCGCAGTTAGGTAAAAATATCAGAGAAGATCGGTATTTTTGATTTTTGTTACTGTTATATGACTCCTAGCGGTCAAATTTCAACAACAGTAATTTTTCTGGGTTGAATTACATACAGATATATGTATATTCTCTCCCTCTCTCTCTCTCTCTCTTAAGCCCTTGAATGAACGGCTCTTGAATTACAGCTGAGATCCTACTATTGGATTGATGATATGCTTAGGTTGCTGGGGTTTGGGATCCTGTTGGATCCCTCACTCTGAGGCCTTGGGCCTATTGCGATACCCCTGTATTGTTGTACCAAACCTTCCTCTCATTCTTTCTTTGCGTTGAAGCACTTCCAGCTCTTCACAAAGTTCCCGATGTCGCCTCAAGATCCCTACCAAAAAAACTTGCCCTAAAGTTTTAAAACGTCGGTATTCCAGTGCCGGACAGTGGCACTGCAGGTGCTCTATTGTTCCTTCTTCCTCTCCGCATTCTCTGCAGTAGTCGTCGTTGGAAATCTTCCACCTCACGAGGTATACCCCTGTGGGGCAATTTCCAGTGATGATAGCTACAGTTATGCGTACTAGGTTCTTTTTGTGCTCTGGTATATGTTTTGTCATTTTACTATCTACCACTGGCCATAGTGTTTGAGCTGTAGCGCAGTTCTCACAATGCTGCCACGTCTCTTGCTGCTTGGCCTTGATGGTAGTTCCTATAGCTTCCTAGAGTGTGTTGATCGTCACAAATGATGGGTCATCTTCCACGGCCTCTCCCGTGGCCCCCTCTTTGTCGAGTCTGTCTGCTTCTTGGTTGGTCACCATATTGCTGTGGCCTGGCACCCAGCACAGGGTAGTCTTGCCTTGACGCGACCAGGACAGTGCTTCTCGGCAGTCTATCACAGTTTTCGATCTCACTGATTGCATCTTGGTGATGCTTTTTAAAGCGCCCAAGCTGTCAGAGTATATTATGATTAGTCCTATTGGTCTATCAGCGATTTTCCCTCATATACAATTGGCCGCTTGCTTTATAGCGTAAACCTCTGCTTGTAGGACACTACAGCCATCTAAGAGCCTTAAAGATCGTCGGATATCTAGTTCCTCTGAGAAGATGCCTATACCTGTGCCCCCTGAATTTGCGGAAGCATCTGTGTAGACTGCTATCTCTTGAGTGTTCATTAGTTGGTTGCTTTCCCATTCTTCTCTTGTCATTACATACATTACTTATGAATAAACGACCATCTTCTTTTAAGGTTAATTTTAAGTTTCAATTGTTCTGAAAGAATTAAAATAAATACGAGAATTTTAAGCGAACGGACTAATAGGGTAAAGAAAGAAACCTTCTGTAAAACGTTGGATCCTTCGTTTTATCAAGAGGGTGGAACGTGATGATAACCTGAAAGTTTGCGTTCAGTGTCTGGAAACTTTATGTTTACTCACGCTGCTAATCGTCCTTTCAGTTTTAATCCGTCAGTTAAATTTCGTGTAAACTTTTTAGCAGTGCCACGTCGTACGAATAAAAACGGACAATTTAATTTCGACGATGGTGTAGGCTAATTTACCGTGAAATATATACACCAGTATTTTGTCGTCAAATAAAATAACGCCCTGATAATTTTTTTGTTGCGACAAAAAACTTTCTTTTGCCGGAAAAAATATGCATTAGGCAAATTAATAACATGTTAAATTTTATAGATCGTTGAAGACGATCAAATTTTAAATGCACAGGGGATTCATGGCTATGGTACGTTAGACGTTTATGGAGAACCGGTAATAGGATTTTTTCATAGACACCTGCTCTATCTGTCATAACAATTATTTTCAGCATTACAGTCATTACAGTGTTAACGTCATACTTAAAGTGTATATGTATATACATTTTATACATTACTACTATATTATACTATATTATATACATTACTACATATTTGTTACTTTAAATGGAACATCCGGTATATTATCACATTTTTTTGAAACTATACTGTTTTTTTTCTCAGGTAAGATTTCGACAGACGATGACAGAAAAAAAGCAGATGACGTCCTATACCAATCTATTTATTTTACTAAAAAAAGTTTCTAATATTTTTTAAGTTTACTATGGATGGGTTTATATAAATCCGTCATGCGTCATCTCTTGTTGTTTTTAACCAGTTTTATTGGTTTATTTCAAAAATGACAGAGCATATTTCAATATTATTGGTTTGACGGAAAATTTAATGACAAACAAACGCCGATGCGTGTGAACTTATCTTAAGATTTTTGAGAGTTGTTAAACTCTTGCCAATTTATAGGTTATAATTTTGTGTCAAATTATGTTAAATAGAAATGATAAATATTTGGTATTTTGGACTGTGTTATTACGTGTGTTTCGTGTTTTTTAAAATTAAGTGGAGGAAAACTCGCGGGAAAATTAAGTGTTGACCCAGACCATAGTTTACAGTTAATATTCGGTGCCCAGAGACCGCCAGAGACATGCCAGATATTATGGCCAGAGAGATGTATTAGCCACAAATAAAGTTTGTATACTATCTTGTATATGATACCAAAAACTGGAGTGTCTGTAAAATAGCAGCACACGATAGGTAAATAATAATCATATTGAATGATTATATTGATAAATGTAACAACAAATGCAGGAAGTTGCTTGAGCTTAAAAGCCGGAAATCTTTGTTATATCTTTTTTGGTATTTGGTGTTTTTTTTTAATAAACCCTTGCTTGTTTTGTATTAACACATACTGTAAACGTTTTTAATAAAATAACTCGATTAGATTTTCTCAATTTTAAACAGTTTTTTTCACAATATTTTGAAGTAATCACTTGTCACTCAAATTTTAAATAAATTTTCTGCTATGCGTTCCAGTTGTGCCAACTTAATTCTTTGTAAAATAAAATAAACTAATTTGAAAATAAAATGACAGACACATCTATCACTGTCAAGGATCTTGTCGTTGGACAGACTATACTTTCATATCTCATAATTTTTCTAACATTTTTTGAAATAATAAATAAAACGTGAAAAATTGACAAAAATTTGATTTGAATCAATTATACAGTGTCCGGGAATAGTGCGTCGTGCATCTGTAGCCCCTAGAATAAAAAAACTTGGGAATTTTGTTTAAGTGGAAACCTAAAGTATGTACTAGGATGTATTTCAGGAAAATATTTTAACTTCTATAGGATTGCTCAAAAAAGTGTGAGTGTATTTGGATGATTTTTTTAAATGGAACCCTGTATATTGTTGCATTTTGGCTTACTTTCATATCGCTTTACATAATTCTAAGTAAATGTGAGCAAATATATTTGCCAGTTTCAGATATATTAATAAACGAATAAAAAATATGTTTTTTCAGCCTTTTAAAAAAAAATATTAAAAATACAAGAACTGTCTTGAAATCAAAATTATATTAAGTATTTACTTTCGATGGCCTGTACTTAGTTTGCTATAAATATGGCAATCGTAAGTCATACAGGATGTTCAAAATTCTACACCAAACTTTCTAAAATATAAAATCATTTTTCTTTGCTTTTTTAAATGGAACGTCCTGTATATTATTTTTTCAGCAGATGGATAATTAAAAAAAGAACATTTTTTTAGTATTTTGAGTATTTTAAAATTTTTAATGGTTTCGCAGATATTCACGGTTTTATATTTCATATGGCATTTTTCACAGTAAATTTTTATCAAAGCCACCTAATGATTTTTGCGAGGATTTTTGTCTCGTATTTTACCGTTGAAAGAGCCATTATGAAATAATACTTCGTGTATCTGCGAAACCATTAAAAATTTCGTAATACCTTAAATACAAAAAATGTTAATTTTTTAACTCTCCATCAAATAAATAAATAATATACAGGGTGTTCCATTTAAAAAAAAATTATTTTATATTTTAGAAAGTTTGGCGTAGAATTTTGAACACCATATATGATTTAAGATTGCAATATTTATAGCAAAGTAGTTTCGATTTCAGGACAGTTTTTTTTTATTTTTGATATTTTTTTAAGAAAGTCTCAAAAATATGATTATTTATTTATTAATATCTTGGAAATTATCGAAATATATTTACTCATATCATAGGATTATGTAAAGTGATCTGAACGGAAGCCAAAAATGCAATAATGTACAGGGTGTTCTATTTTAAAAAAAATCATCCTGACCCAGTCACACTTTTTTGAGCCATCCTATAGAAGTTAAAATATTTTCCTGAAATACCTCCTAGTACATACTTTAGGTTTGCATTTAAACAAAATCCCCAAGTTTTTTATTCTAGGAGCTACAGATGCCTGACTCTCTTTTGCGGGACCCTGTATAAACTTAAATACCTATAACCTTTCCTATAACTAAATAGTTTAATATTTATTTTCTACGTTTGAGATTTAAGATTGTGGGATAGAACTGATTGACGTATTGAAAAAAAAATGATTCACTGAAAATTACTTCACCTTCTGATTTTTATATGGCACCCTCAGTATTTTTTACTTTATGCAATAGCTGTGTTCATAACTACAGTTTGACTCGAAATCTGTAGTATGTGGTACCAAATTATTCGTAAAAATGCTTATTTTAAATATGCTAATGAGCTACCTTCGATCTAGTTGAAAAAATTGTGTTAAAAATGATTAAAAATACGATTTGGGCATGTGTTAACCGAAAAAAGCCACGAAAAAGATTAGAGGATCAAATTTACTTTTCCAATAAATTAAAATACTACTTTTTTAAGCGCAAATCTTAAAAGTTCACATATTATGATATGCTCACTTATTATATTATTAGGTAAACTTCATTATATTCATTTGTATATTCAATTCAATCAATCCTGATTTTATGTCTTATAGAAAACATACCGAACGTTTCCTTTTTGTTTTACCTGATAAAAATAAAAAAGTTATAGGGGTGAGCTACTTTTGAAAAACACCCAGAATATATTTTTCCGCTTATATTTTCTACTGATGTATGTTTTATAAAATAAAACAAATTCATATAAAAATAAAAGCAAGATCATTTTTAGACTAATAACTATGAAAGACAGTTTGAAAATGAATACGTATGATTAAACTGCTGCCAATAATAATTATTATATTTGCTTACAATATTTATTATAATAGGTTTTTAGTTTGAGCTTAGCTTTCTAAAACTATACTTAAAATTGGTGTGTACAACTTTACTAGAATTTTGTGCCAAGTTCGGCGTTTTTCACAGTTGACATTTTTTTATTTACTTAAGAAACACTTATAAGACAACGTACCTGGAAATCCTCTGGGTCCTGTGGGACCTGGAGGTCCTGGAGGGCCTACGGGTCCTGGTGGACCAGATGCATAACTCGATAATTCTATGGCCATACTCATTGCCTTAACCTAGAATTATAATAACTAAAAATATGCAATATATATAATTAAATTAAACATATAATAAATTATCAATTAATACATCATTCAATATTAATTGATACAATATCGAGATACAATTTCGAGAATAATTGGACAGCTAACAAGGTTCCAGAAGTTGGCCGTCGAAACCTAACCAAACTATGCATTTTTATTTTTGATATAAATTAAAGAATTTTATTTTAATTTTTTTATATACTCTAGACAAGAATTAGATGTGCCTTTAACAATTACGAGAGGGTATCTTTCAGTTTCACTGAGTTAATGAATTTCGCGAGAAATGTTGAGAAACGGTCCTGTGCATAAGACAAGACAGTCGACACTTCGAACACCCCCTGTAGCAAATTCTCATGTTTTGGATTTTTATTTGTTTGTGCATCTTTTATTGTAAATATTATTTTCGTTTTAATTGCTGCTGACAGCTACCGATAAGGTAAATCATTTGTTTTCTGCATGACGTCCATAGCCTACTTATTCAAAGAGAGAAAATAATTTCAACTCTCTATTTCGATAATTATAATTACAATACAATATTAAGATAATTTTATTTTATTTTCAATGAATTAAAAATATACAAGGTTTGGTTTGGTTTGGCCCCTATATAAAATATCATTTTTTTTCTGTTGATAACTCCCTGGTAAACTGGTAACCTCCCTGTCCAAATAGAGCTCTGCCGTTGATCAGAATCTTCGTTGGCATAAAACATTTATACATGTCAAATTTTTCAAAATAATTAAAATTTTGTTGTTCTGCTATGTCTAGTATCTACAGTGAATCAAAAAACAACAAGGAAACTAGCATGGAAAAGACAATAGTCAAAATTTGACGTTGAATAAACTATTCAATTGTCATGACTATCTATTATAAACCGGCTGCCTATGTTAAATAGTTAAAAAACGTATTTTTACTTTATTTGTGAAAATAAGTCTAGGGTATATTATATTTTTAGAGAGCTCATGAAAAAACAAATTTAATAAAAGAATGATATACAGGGTGTCACATTTAAAAAAACATAAGTTTAGGTTATATTTCGAGAATGACAGCTCCCAACAAAAAACTAGTTACGCCACTAGATTCTACGTAAAAATGTCTACTGGGCTCAGTTTTCGTCTTTTCGATAAGTTATAAGATAACCGAGATACGAAGAGGGTCGAAAAATGCAACGTTTTCAATTTCTCCCTGTATTTCAGGAACTAAGAGGGCTAGGACAAATCTGTGCGTAGCATTTTTAGTTTCATAAAAAAGTAGCACAGTGATTTGAAAACCGCATCTCTGTATATCTACACATAAGCGAGATACCCCGTAAAACACACAAAAATGGGATGCCCTGTACACTACCGAATATCTCTACTTATCTGTCGTGTTCCGCTGCGATTAAATATCATTACTTGACCTGAACGCAGTGATTTATCCATTTACCTTATTCTGCAGGTCCTGCAACTTCTCGTGCAATCTAACTACCGTGTCGCAGTTGGCGTAGCAGCGATTCGAATGTCCTGCCATCGTCCTGCCGAGCGGCGTTTCCTCCATCCTGCCGCCACCCTTATCTCCGCTTCCTTGAGTTATTCGCCTCTCCGGCGTCCGTCGCTCGCAGGTCCTGTTGTCCGCCCGCAGCACCGAGCCGTCCTCGCAGGCACAGCGATAACCGCCTATTTCGTTCACACACCTGTGTTCGCAGTCGCCGTTACGGTCCAGGCATTCGTTCACGTCTGAAAGATAGAGACGGATGGGGGTTAGAGTAAGTGGTGTAGAGTCTAAGACGATTTTTCGTTTTTATTTCGTGTATTTTTTATTGTATGCGCTACGAATAGAAGCGTGACAAGAGCTGTTACAATAAATAAATAAGTTAATGTATTCATTTATTTGCTAAAAATAACATGGTAATTTGAAAAAGTAAATGTTTTTTCATGATTGAGTATCTACAATTTATATATAAATAGCGCAACTTAGAATATTTTGTTTTAGTTTCTATTTGATAATATAGAGTGATAATACATTATCTAAAAAATGGCGTCAGCGAAGGCTATGAAATAAAGATACTTGTCATTTTATATGAAGAATTATATGGGGAATGTCATCGATCGTAATTTCCAAGCCAACTGGACGCCATTTTTTTCGATCATACGGTATAATAAATATACGAAACATTGTAGTTGTAAAATTTAGTAAAAAATGGAAGACAATAATAGACATTTGATATAACAGTTTTATTCCAAATAAAGCATTTTCTACCACCTTTATATAAACGTGTAATCATAAAATATACAGGGTTTACACTATTTTGGTTGAAATTATACGGTATCTCCGTTATTCGTGAAGATAGAAGGGTGCGGTTTGCACAAACTTGTCCCACTTTTTTGTCAAACGGAATATACCCGTAATTTTCATAGCCTTCTTCGTTTCTGAGCTACAGGGTGTTTTTGAAAATTTTCCTATTCTGTATCTCTGTTATTGTTAAAGGTATCGAGATGGTGGAAACTGTTTATTGTAGAACTTTTTACGTAGAACACAGTGGCGTAGTCTGATTCTACGAAAGGAAGATATATGAACTAAAGTTATGTTTTCTTAAATGGAACACCCTGTATATTTATAAATTATATGATCTAGCTTGCCATAAGCTTCTCAAAAATATATATTACTCTATATTTATTTACACTATTTATTGCAATATTTAAAAAAATATATTAAAAAATCATATTTATTAGTAGACCATGATTGATAATAAAAGAAACTAAAGAATTATTAGAAGTATATACTGCTATCTGTCTCTTGTTTTATTTTGTAAGCCACTAATAAATTCTTTATATATTAGGAAAACTTAACTAGACTATATGTTTGTAAATCTTGGAAGCTATCGTTTCGGAACTTTTATACATTCTTTTAGCTAATTTACGTGAAAAATACTTTCAGCAAAATGGGGATACCCTTCACAACTTTAAAAATATTTGAATTTTGTTACATTATTATTTCTCAAATCAATGAATTGGAACCAATGGACTCATACAGCATAGGTCTCCCTGATTCCTGGATTTGTCCGTTCTCGATTTCTGATTTTGGGGATTTTTGAAATATGAAATATATCATGGCAACTACAACAATGTCGAACACCTGGAAAATGCTTTAATAATGTAAGCTAATAATGCAATTATAATATTTGCAAATCTAGCCCGTTATAAAAAAAAGAAAAATATATTCAGAGATTCAGTGGTAACAGTTCAAATGTAAAATATATCAATCCTAAATACAATTTTAATATGAGTATGACTATTTTAGTAAATACCATTTTGATTTTTTTGTTATTCTGCCTCTACTAAGAAAATGATATATTTCAAATATTACAGTAAATAGAGAAAATAAGTATAGAGTGATATATATATTTTTGAGAAGCTCATAGCAAGACAGATCATATGATTTAAAAATATACAGAGTGTTCCGTTTCAAAAGCATAACTTTATTTCATATTCTCAAAAATATTTTTTTTGTAGAAAAACAGACAACGCCGATGTATTCTACGTAAAAAGTTCTACAAGAATCAGTTTTTACCTTCTTGGTATCATCCATAATAATGGAGATACGGGGGCTGTTCAAAATTGCAAAATTTTCGAAAAGACCCTGTAGCTCAGAAACGAAGAAGGCTATAAATATTTTGTTTACAGCATCTTCCGTTTGACAAAAAGGTGGGACATGTTTGTGCAAACCGCATCTTCCTGTCTTTACTAATAACGGAGATACCGTATGATTTCAACCAAAATAGGACACCCTGTACAATACGATCAAACACGTATGACAGAAAAACTGTCAAAATTATTTATTTTTTTATTCGTGTCAAAAATGTTGCTTATAAAATGTCATTAGATAGTCACATTTACGCATTTAATACAATTATTACATAATAACAGTTATTTAAAGAGGTAAAATGGTAATGCTTTAAAATATTTAAATATTTACAAAATACTCTGTAATATAATTTGATATATGCAATTATTTAAATTATTACGGAAAAATAATTCACAAGGCAAAACTTTGTGTCCAGTCAACAACACAACAGATCAAAATTGAAAATCTAAATTCAAAGATCGTTTCAAAGAATTATGAATTGTATAATTCCAACTCTTTCAATCCTGTGCGAACATATTGTCCCAGAAAAGTTTTGATATATGGAAACAGAGGTTTTAGTATAGTGCAGTCATAAGTCCGTAGACAAGTCAATACCTGTTTAAATTTTTCCTTGCTTCTAGCTTCTGTGAAATTTTGTCAGTCTTGTTGTTTCTGCTCAGTGTTCACGCATTATTCGCATTATTAACTGTGTTTCTATATAGTCTATGAGCAAGTGGCAGGCAACCTATATGTGTTTTATAAAACCTGACATTTTGTCCAGTGAGTCTCTCATACCTGCTAACCATGAATAGAGTCTCTAAGCCCAGCGAAGTGAACACGTAGTGTTACTTAGGTGCGGCAGGTGTCAAAATTTCACCAAATTTAATAGTATTTTATAAAAGCTCTCGCTTATAAATTCTACAATATATAACCATTATTATTTAAAAATATCATCAAAAAAATAAACCAAAGACAAACAGGAAATTCTTCTTCACGTAATGCATAATATGTAAAGGAATGATACGCACTGTATTATTAAATTAAATGGGTTTTCTTCCACTCTTTGTTTATTCTTATCAAAACTTATGCAATTTAACCTACATTACTTTAACAAAAGAAAATACACATAAATTTTATTTATATAGATTAAAGATTATTGTAGTACTTTTTCTATCATCAAAAACAAATACAATTAATACAAATAAAATTTGACTTGTTTAACCTTGCTTCAAAAAAATAAATACATTGAAGGTTGCTTCATTAAGTACCATCTACCAGAATTCTGTTGAAGAGATTTTGAATCAAGTAATTCAATTTTCGACAAGATCCGCATCTACCGGCATCCGACAAAATATTGTTTAAAAGTATACTGAAGGGAAACGTTCCATGGGATTGATAGTCTGAATTAGTTACTATTAAAACCACTTAATATTATTTTTCGAATTAAAAACGTTCCCTTCCAGAAAAGACACGTGTATGGTAATTTGACCTTTACAATTCTCCATTTGTAACTTTATATATTATTACATGCTAATCTAAGGACATTAAGTAATATATTAAAAGAACCAATATAGTTGGTTCGATAGTAAATAAATTTGTACTGGATGACAAATTACCTAATGTATTTTATCGAATTTCAAATGTTTTATTTCTAGAAGACGTATTGCTCGTCGATAGATGCTGAAGAAAAATTGACTTAAAGTACACGACCTAACCCTAATGCCCATCCGTCTCTTTTTTCAGACATAGATGAATGTTTGGATTGTAACGGATGCTGTGAACATAAGGGTGTAAGCGACAGAAGGCGTTATAATTACTCTTAGTTTAATATTAACGTGATATCATAACATTTTCTTTTATATAATTTTTTATTTATATATTTTATATATAGTGCACACACAACTTTTTTCACACACAAAATTTGAATTAAAATTACCGTCTGTCCGTCCGAGGACTCCATTCGGATACCTCTATCCACGTGCCGAGTTTGGTTCCAATTGACCCATAATACAGAAAAATCCTGATGATTTTGTCCATTTAGAGGTATGTAGCCCGTTCCCAATTATGCCGAAATCGATACACATTTTTCTTAAGTAAGTCACATTTTTCTTCAGTCAAAACGTCACGCGTCGTATCCAACTTCGCAGGGTGGGACCGTATGCAACGTCGCTTACATAGTGTACCCACCAAATTTGGTCGCGATCGGACATCAACTTTTGACGTTTCTTACGTCAAAAGTAACTTTCACAGTAACACGTGTCGTATACAGGGTGGTCCGAACTGTATTCCGGAAACTTCGGAAGCATATTTTGCAGATAAAAATAAGCAAAAAATTTCGTATAGTATGTCCCAAAATGCTTAGTTTCGGAGATACTGGGTGTTGAAGTTTTATTTTTGTTTTGATTTTTTCCAATTAATTTCTGAAGTAACGTCAATATTTAGATGAAAATTAGTGTCTGGTTTAGTGAAGTAGTATTAGTATTAATTTAGTAATTAGTGAAATAAATTTAGTGAAGTTTTTTGACATGAGAAATTTGATTTTGATGTAAATATGACTCTTACATGTAGAGAAAAAAAAAGTCTCTTTGTAAAAATCGTCACGAGTTATGGTTCTCGAGATATTTGGAATCAAATTATCAATACATGTCGTCATTGACATAAATTAAACATGTTGAATAAATAGTTATTAGACTGAAATCATAAATTTCAAATGTTTTGGTGCCAAAAGTAGAGCAGAGTTTGAGCAGCTTATTTAGTCAAATAACTATCTACACAACACGTTTATTTTTTGTCAATAATGACATCTATTGACTGTTCCCATTCTAAATATCTTGAGAACGGTTGCTCGTAGCGATTTTTACCAAGAGACATTTTTTTATGTAAAAAATCACGGAAATGTACATTCTTTCACTCAGGAGTTTTATACAGGTACGGACAAAATGTTATTACTCTTCAAAACAGTTAAACTACATGTAGGTGGCGCCCCTACAAATAGGAGCCATATTGACCTTTTGAAATCAAATTTCTCATGTCAAAAAACTCCCAGATACCAACTTTCATCGAAATATTGACATTAGGTACTTCAGAAATTATTTGAAAAAAATCGAAATAA